AAAATTCAGATATCACTTAAAGCGAATTTTAAAATTTTTAAAGTGTTTGTTAAATTTTTGGCTTTTGGAAGTCTTTTTCTGAAAGTGAACATTAAAGGACTTTGTTGAATGAAAGTATATAAACAAAATACAATCACAGTTTGTATATTAACGTGACACTGGAAAAAGCCCTGGGTTTTTTTGTTTTTTTTTTTAAAATTTTTAACCTGTAATTTTTAAATGTTATTTTTCATAACTTTTTTTTTGTTGATATAACAGTGGTAATGCTAAGCAACAACATAACATCACGGTTTACATATGTTTAACGACCATGGTGGGCCAAGACTCTGCTGGCAAGTGAATTATAATTTAAATGGGTTTACAATGTACTAACAGGGGCTAATTTTTAACAAATTTACAAACAACCTTAACATGGTTTCAAATTTCTTTTTTTAAAAACGGCTTGAACCAAATTTTACATTTTAACAACATGCTGTTTAAAATTGGGCGACTTGAAAACCTAAATCAAAATTCACAAATCCAAAAAAAAAAGAAAAAAAAACATTTTTTAAATCTTTATAAAATATTTTTCAGTATCACTTGCAAGAAAATTTTTGTGAGTAACTGGCTGAGAACAAGATTATTTTAAAATTTTACTTATTTTTCCTTAATAATTTTAGAAAGACTAAATAATTCTGGTTCTAATTTTACCATTTACTATAGAAAATGTTTTTAAAGAATGCTTGGAAGTACTTTACATATGTTTTTTTTTTCATCTGGTTATGTTCAATGACATGTTGAAATGATGACGCTTTAACAGAATTAAAAACTGTTTACTGTGATTAGTTTGGGTTTCACTTGATTATTATTCCAATATTCTGAGGCACTAAATATCCCCAACAGGAGTAACCCCAATTCAAATGTTTCTTGGAAGAATAACCCAATCCTAACCAACAAAGGGGACAAGTGATTCTGCAGTTGACCCATTTAAACCACGGTGATCTTAATATGAATCTTCACAGACCCGTTCCCTCAACTTTTTGTGTAAACATTGTAAAGTAGGGGAAAACGCTGGCGTAAAGATAAAGGGCTTATACCTGGTACCCCCGGCTGCCAGTACAGACGGAATATCTATGTTTATTCGGCAGTAACGGGGTCCTGCTGTTTCCGCTAAAACAATTAGCTTAGATTTCTGATCTGGTGATGAACTTTTCGGTGTTCGATTCTTTTTCTTGCATATGACAAATTAAAATCATAATTGGGAACGAAATAACAAATACTAGTATTTTCATTTAGCAAGATTTTTCTGATAGTAGCGTATGAAATTTACAACCCATTCATATCATGAACAAGGCAAAAATGAGTCATTTAAGAAACCATTCATAATATGGTGTATAGGAAAACGAACATCATTTTAAAGCATGCAACTTGCCTGTTTGTCTGGAATTTCAACTAAGCACTGGTGTGAACAGTAATAACCCTGGTCCGATATGCAAGAAAAAATGGCTATGAAGGCTTGCAGCTGTAATAACATGTCTTAAGCTAATAATAAACCACTCTGACGAGGCTGTTTACTTTAGCTCTTAAACCTTTATACCTTTAAGTTTGAATTTCAAAACAACACATTCTACTAGATTAGATAAATTTTGATAATGAAATCCATCAGCTTACAATAAACTGTTCTTTAATCCAAATCCTGAGAAAGTTCATTTCATTCGAAGGTTAAGAGTTACCGTAAATCACAGGTGCGGAGGTAGAGGTTTGGCCTGTTTTACTTTTTTTTATTATTAAGATTTAATAAGATCACGTTAAAAAAACAAGAAAAGATATATTGGTATTTCACAATTTTTTTTATTTTTCTGCCAAAATTTTTTTAATCTAGATGTACCATTCTTTTATTAAATTAATCAGTAAAATAAAAAAAAAAGTTTTACATGGAGGATATTAGAGAAAAAAACAAGTTTAAAAGTTAAGAGAACTTGCATTACTATAAAATGCAGTGAATGTAATAAACAAATGACATAATCTATTAAATTTTAAAGACAAACAATATTTCCCATTAATACAATAAAAAAAAGCTTTTTTTTAATATATATAATTATGTGTGTAACAAAACAAGGTGTTTTATGGGCAAAAAAAACAAAAATATATAGACACATAATGAGATTATTAACTATTGAGATTTTATTTTGTTCTTTCGAAAAATGAAAAATACAGATGGACCCGTGTTAAGAAGCCACAGGTCTCAGTCAATCGGCAAAAGTATATATCTTGGTCAAGAATTTGTTTGACTGAAGCAGTTACATGTCACTCATGGAAGCCTTAAAATTCACCTTGGTTCCAGTAGATAAGTTATACAAATAAGACAACAAATGTATGTACTTCTTTGCCTCATAGCAAACTGAAAATCACAGGAGAGTATATGACTAAACAAGAACAATAATGGATAACCTGTATACAAAAAACCACTCAAAAATGAAACAAAAAACTTTACATATATCCTTGTTTAAATGTTGGCAAGAATACACAATTTATGTTATATAAAAATACAACTCTGATTATTTTTTTTCTCTCTTAATTTGGGTCTGCAATGCTCTAGGCCTTTTGTTGTATCAAATGAAATACCTTTACATGTGTTCACTCAATAGTCAGAAAAAACATGCAAGAGTACAATTGCACTAGAGTATCATAACATTCATCAAATACAAAATTCCATCTAAATCTCCTATTAAATTCTTCAATTGACCACCATTGTATTTTAAAGTTACAATTTCAGTAATGTTTACTCCATAATTGCTTCTCTTTCAATATATACAGCTAAGCAGTTGATAGTTGATGAATGAAAGGTTTGAAAAGTTTGTGATGAGGTAAAAAATAAATAATACTAAAATGGTGTATTTATATCTATAGATGCATGAAAAATTAATACACAACACAAAAAAGCCATAAATAGATACTTCCAATGCAGAATCACACAAACTTTTTTCTTTTCTTTCAGCCAATCTTACAAAATTTAATCTCTGGCAATCTATGGGTATAAATTGATAATGCAAGAGAAAAAAAAAACTCCAATGAAAATTGAAATAAGTCTAAAAAGACAAAAACTACCAGAGAAGTCTGGTAAGATTCCATAGAATGTGTTGAAGTTTGATATATTAACAGTTTTTGTCAGGTATAGTTCCATACATGGCAGAGCAGTACAACATATTAACATTAACTTTATGGTGTACCTGCTTTCGTTTTTTCTTCATTATCTGCATGATCATAAAATGGTACGACATAAACAATAACCCATAACTTACTGAATGGGTACTATGATTAGCCCGGCTTTGAAATTAAAACAGTCCATTCAAAGTTCAAGAGATTTCAATTTCAAAATACAAAAATAGAACAACCAATAGTATAGAACCTGATCAGACTGGAACTATACTGGGGTAGCAAAGGCTAAACCCTTTTAGTTCCAGCAGGTTAACAAATTAAGACAAACAACTCCCACAACCATTACAAGAAAAGATATCATTTTATCATAAGATGAAGTAAATGTGTATTTCAAATACACCTTAAACACAATGTATTATGACAGATAATAAAATTCAGCATCAATAATGAATTCATACAGGAATATTGTAATTTCATAATATAAATTTTTAAAGTAAATAAAATTCAGCATAGACTTTAAGTTCATACAGAACACCAAATTTTATGGCATTTTACATTTTGAGTAAATTAAAAAAAAATTCCATTCAGGGAAAATACATAAACATTTCTTTTGCAATAAATATTACAATTCTGTATCAATAGGCTTATGTGCAACGCTAAACAATATCAAGAAGAAATTTTCACCATACAACAGGTGTACCAGGAAGACATTAAGTTATGTATCAAGTTATTATAACAAAACTGCCTCCTTTACCCTTAAACTGATGAATTTCTTACACAAACTTTTCCAGTTTCCGTTTTTGGAACTGTCTTCCAAATTCAAAGCCCATAATATAAATATAAAAGTGAAAGGGTTAAACAAACACTTAATATTTATTCCATTGACACTCACTCTTGTAAACAATACTACAAATATGTAAATAAAAAAAATCATTAAAAAAAATAAACAAAAATGCTCAGACTGTAAGCTGATTTTGACCGTATCATGAACATGCTGAAAGCTAGCCAGATACAAGTATTTCATATCGCACGAAGTCCCAAATGAATTTGAACCCTAATCGGCGAAGGGAAAGTGTTCCGACGCCTGCAACCATAACCACCCAACCATAAAAATCCCATGTTAAACATTACTTGAATATACTTCTACCATTTTAATTTGAAGTTTGAATTTGAACAATAAAAATGAATTACACAAACATTTACCTTGAGAAATTGTTTATGATATACATCCTTTATAACTTCCCAAATAGCAACATATTCCCTCAAATATCACAGCACTATATGAAAGTAAGGTAAGACAGACGGGTCCCTTTGTTTGATCTATAACTCAATAAAGCTACCTGTACAATTTTTCTATTAAAATAACAATGGCCTCTCAAAAGAATAGTTTGATGCAACGAATACTCACTTCTGTCTCAAACAGTGAAAATTATAAACTTAAAAAGCTACATAATCTGACAGGATGGCTGGCAGTTGGTGACACAAAATAATCGTCTAACTTATTCATTTAGTTTTAGCGGAGTTGAAAGTCACACCAACACTTAAAAGGTCATATAGCAATTTTCTAGGTTTATGGAAGAAAAAAAACCTCAGGTGCCACTATCCATGATAAAAGTCATAAACAGGTTTCCGAGTAAAACCACCAACTTAACATAATTTCAGACAGACTCCAGTTTCGTCACATGACATAATCCAATTTTGTCCTGTGACAGAATCTATGCCCTTGGTGGATTGTGAACCCAAAGCAGACGGGCAAGAGATAAGAAGTTAAAGAACATTACTACATGGACATGTAGAACATATTCCATTACTACCCATCTATAAACTAATCATACTGATCTCTGGGTCATTTTCAATGTACAATAAATCTCTATGTTTAGAAAGGAGGTGATAATTGAGCAAAAATAGCACCACTTAGCCAACATTGATATATTTCTGAAAAAAAAACTAAGTGTTTAATATATATATCACAATAAAATTGCGTTATCAACTCTTTGAATGCTATGTTTGTATAATGAACTTATTCTTCGTGGATCGATCAATTGTTTATGTGAGGGGCTTTGGTATCAAATGTTGAAGATAGGTAAAGAACATTGTACAGCCACGTCAAACTGCTTCAATATGCAGACTGGTGGAACATACAAGTCATTAAGGCAGCTAGCATTCAAAAAGTTAATACAAAGTAACTCGAGTATTGCTCCAATGTCATGCAACTCAAACATGCAATGATATTACATTAAATATAACAACATATTTCAAATTAAAATGTGATTTAAACTAAAAACCTTTTATTTGCATTTATATCATTAAATCCTTGGAAGAGTGTGTTTAGGCATGTTTTACAACAAATGAAAAATTCAACATACATTATTTTGCAATCAAAGTCAGCATTACATATTTCTAACAGGGATGAAAAGGGAAAAACAAAATAAGCGAGCAGCAAAAAATCAAACGAAAAATGAAGTCTTGATGAAACAGCATTCATTTCTTTCTTGCCTTATAATTTCCTATCATTATAATCAAACACATATTTTGACAAAGTGTCAATATAAATATATACGAGATAGGGAATGCAAACAGATTGACCTAAAAACTATTCATATAACAACAATAAATATACAAGTCCAGCTTGTAAAATAACGCTGGAAATAGAAAACCAAACTGTACCAATCAAGAGCTGTGAATTATGCAATAGGTCCTTAGTTACACAGACAAGTACTGTTTGTCTCAGTCTATAAGAACACAATTTTTGGACCCAAATTAGTGTGTCTTATAAGGCTTTTTGTCTAAAAAAACAGGGGGATACATCTTATATGCAAGTATATTCAGTAATTCTAGTTACAAGAAATACTGTAATATGTCCATTTGCAGAAAATCTAAAAATGGCCACAGAAATGTAATGCCAAACCAAAAGTTAATGTTGGCAGACATCAGTGAATGGACATGTCAATTTCTACAAACATAAGAAAACTGCAGGAATTTTATTAAGCTGAAATTCAACATACATTTCAATAACTTGTATTTGTACCTTTCATCGGATATTAAGGCACATATATGCACAGTTTAGAATTAGGAAGACAGCCATATTATGTAGTTTACACTGTAGACACCTACACGACAATGTTATTATGTTTTGTACATAAAGATGATATAACTTCTTCATAAGAAATCCCATTCATAAATAGATGTACTTATTATAAAGTTTGGGCAAAGTTTTTCACATCACTTGTAACAAAAATCATTTGGAAAGCATTCGGATGACAAGATCATTCTTTGTTGATCCTGGTTGTACAAATGTTTAATATGATCTTTTTATGACACCACTGTTAAGAGACATGCCTAGTTTTCACAAACAAGATTATAATGGTGATGTTACCTTAATCCTAAACCTGCTGAATTTGTTTTATGGATTTCATCAACTTTGAAAGTTCAAGGGACTTAAATTTCAAACACACAGAAATTAAGCTGCAAAACCCTAGAGAGCCTGGTCAGTCTGCACAGATCGACAGACAGACCTAGAGCTAATCTGGCAGCAAAGGTGGCTTAACAATTTTTGATTGGAGCAGGTTAAGATAGAAATATTAACTTCTAAACAGACTTAGTTTATACCTAGTTATGATGATCTTGTCACAAATAAAAACACATGCATAAAACAAGTGAACAGCTTAAATGTACATACAGAAAAGTTGTATAAATATATATATATATAAATATCACAAAATTACTAATGTTCAGTAAGTAAATTCCCTATTCCCTCTCTGACAGAGAGCAGTGATGATGGCTGGCATATGCTGAAAGTTTTTTAGAGCAACGTCAGCTTATACAAACTTTGCAAGCATTGACCGGACTCTAAACTGTTGCGTACTTCATTTAAATGAAATCCAATTTAGTAACAATAGACAGTGTCTAAAATGTAAAGCAAGCCATGTTTTTTGTTTGACATCAGTTACAGTTAGAAAATGTTATCAAATGAACATTGGCAAACTAAGTAAACTAAGTCAAAATGAACCAAATAAATATTATGAACACATGCCATAAAGAAGCTTTATATATGATATAGCATGGGTAGTTAACATATAAAAAATTTCACATAATTTTTAAAGAACTTGTTCCATTTTCAAAATTGTCCCATTAATTATCAAATCTGTCATTAAATTATTAAGTTCCTTCCATTAGTCACATAATTTTTAAAGAACTTGTTCCATTTTCAAAATTTGTCATTTATTAATTATCAAATCTGTAATAAAATTATTAAGTTCCTTCCATTAGTATTTTTGTTTGTCAGGCAGTTATTATGTTAGTCTTTCATGTAAATGTTAAGTAACAAAGATTCTGGGTTAAAAGATGGCTTACCATCTTGAATCTTTAAGGATATTTAAACATAATTTGTAAGAAAACAGAGCACATATTGGAACAGAACACACAATGTGTAGGTCCTTAAGCAATTATGTTTCCTATTCAAAAAGGTAAAAAAAAGTCTTATATGGCATAGGCCATAGGTTTCAATATATCCTTCAACCACTTAAGTTGACTATGGCTATAAAAATCCTGCTCATTGCCATACATGAGATTATCACAAGAAAGCCGGAACACACAACACTATGTATATATAAGTATACATTTAGCTTAGTTTTAGTTTTTATACATGGATGACTGAATAACATATACAAATGACACTGAAAAAATGTTATTTAGCCTTAAAACAGCACTGGAGACAACTATGCAATCCTCTGTTAAAAGAAACTTCAATAATTCCAGCATTTTATTCCTTTTTTCTTGATCTAATTATTTCCTCCTGATTATTTTGCTATTTTCACCAATTTATAAACTCAATGCCCTGGAAACAATAATGTTGGAATTCTTCATCTGTCTACACATTATTTCATTTCTTCTTGTTCATTTTCATGTTTTTACTTAGAGTCTCTTCTTCCTGAATGTCTTTACGGAAGTTGGAAACTTTCTCTCGCAGCGATGTTAACTCAGTTATCTTTTTCATGAGAAGTGCATCAAGCTGCTTTGCATAGGCTGAAAAAAATAGAACAAAATATGTCAGTTGTTTATATAAATTATACTGAAGATGTCATTTAAAGTAAGACATATATGAGCCGTGTCACGACAAAACCAACATAATGGGTTTGCGACCAGCATGGATCCAGACCAGCCTGCGCAGCTCAGGTGTCACGACAAAACCAACATAATTGGTTTGCTACCAGCATGGATTCAGACCAGCCTGCGCATCTGCGCAGTCTGATCAGGATCCATGCTGTTCGCTTACATACCCTATAACAAGTAAAGAAACTGATAGCGAACAGCATGGATCCTGATCAGACTGCACAGATGCGGCTGGTCTGGATCCATGCTGGTCGCAAACCCATTATGTTGTTTTTGTTGTGACGCGGCTCAATTATTAAATTTTACTGAAGATGTCATTTAAAGTAAGACATATACTAAATGAATCAAACAAGCTTTGGTACAGCCACAAATGTTTTAGACTTAATGCCCCATGTTATGAGAAACAACTTGATACATGTATATATGCCATTGATTTAGTTTCTAAAATTTGATCCCCAAAATTTAGCTTAACAGCTGTGATTATAAGATATTTAAACACTGACCTAGAAATGATCAAGTGACAAATAGTTTATGAATAGTAAAAATTGAGCAATGAAATGAGAATTGGCATTTTTGGACATACGACTTCACCCATTCACCTTTATAGGCTTGATGATAGATACATGTATCATGACATGTGTTATATAAACAAATGAGCCGCGTCATGACAAAACCAACATAATGGGTTTGCGACCAGCATGGATCCAGACCAGCCTGCGCATCCGCGCAGTCTGATCAGGATCCATGCTGTTCGCTTACAAACCCTATAACAAGTAGAGAAACTGATAGCGAACAGCATGGATCCTGATCAGACTGCGCGGATGCACAGGCTGGTCTGGATCCATGCTGGTCGCAAACCCATTATGTTGGTTTTGTCATGACGTCGCTCAAATATGCAATAACCATATTCATTTGAAAACAATGTAATGTGATCAAATGTAATTTACTACTATATATTTGCACATGGAATAACACGTATTCAGCATTAGAGTCAATTTATATAGTTATCCTACCTTCAACATCATAATCCACCTCATCTGTCTGCTTGAACAATTTCTTTTGCTCTGTCATCCATTTTTGTGTGTTCTGTAAATAATATGTTAAATCATGATAATATTCACAATAACAATTTTAGGATTTATTCCCTATCATTCAATCTATCTTTTATTTTCTTTTTCTATTTTCTCTCCATAGTTTGATAAAAATATTGCTCACAAGTAACTGCAAGACAGACTTATGGTAGTTATCCCTTTATACAGTGCTAGATCCGCGCAGTCTTATCAGGATCCATGCTGTTCGCTATCAGTTTTTCTACTTGTTATAGGGTTTGTAAGCGAACAGCATGGATCCTGATCAGATTGCGCGGAAGCGCAGGCTGGTCTGGATCCATGCTGGTCACAAACCCATTATGTTGGTTTTGTCATAGCACGGCTCAATTATTATGGAAACTTTCTAGCTTTACTAGTGGAGACAGGCCTTAGGTACACCCTTTTGGCATTCAAAATCAAGCTGCAGGTAAGCTCTATCACATTAAACGGTTCAAAGTTGCTGGCAGGATTTCAACAGACAAGGGGCAAGTCAGTTATCTCAAACACTCAGTCACAGTGGCTTTAAATTTGATGTTTACTGTTACAACACTGAAACTTAACAATATTCATTTTAAAACAAAAACATCCTTCAATATAACAAATACAGTACAAAACTTACATAAACACTATAATACTTACTTCAATCAATGATTTTTGATCGTCAATAATTTCCTCTTCCAGCTCCTGCATGTGATTCACCTTCTCATGGAACGTCATCAGATCTTCCGACACTTCATCTTGCTGTAATGCAATCATATCGTGTTCAGTTATTCAAGACTGTTACATTGACATGTTTTTTTTATTATTGAACAGTACCAATGTAATCAACGTCTCTCTTTAAACTGCCACATTTGTATAATACAGTGGTCATATTCTCCATCTGGAATCGTCCATTGTAAATGTAAGGGAATTTCATATACAGTAAACTCCGCTTATAACGAACTCAATGGGACATTCAAAATATGTTCCTTATATCTGGAGTTCCTTGTAAGCATATAGCGAATTAGTTCCTTGTATCAGGACTAGTATAGCGAACAGATTTACATATAACGAACTGATTGTTTACACAATCAGACGTCTGCCATTTGGAAGAGCATTTGATTAAGAAAAAAATAGTCATTTTTTCCATTTTAGACACAATATCCATGAGCGTACTTTTTGGATATTGAAAATTGTTTGCTATTTCTACTCCCTTTCTCATAGAATATCATATTTTGTTACTAAACTCAGTGCTTTTCGTTTTCTTTCCATGATTAATAGTAAACAAGATTTTCGATTTTTCCTTCCTTTTATATTGAAGATCTTTTATTATATTTTAAGGGTGACTTTTACTAATGAAAGATGTAGATTTCTTTTCATTTCAATCAAGCGTACTTTGTAGTTTTCAATGGATTATGCTTGCAAACGTGCGTGATTATGTTGAAAACCGACTATAAATTATCATAAGCAAAACTATTAAAGAAAGAAAATAATAGAATAAAAGGAATAACCATTTTACCTTGGTGACAAAAACTTATGCTATTAATATCCTAAATAGAAAACTATTACGGACTGCTATACAAATTAGTTTTCATAAATATATTAAAGTACTGTGCATTCAACCGAATTTTAACCCCTGCCAATGAAATCGTAAGTTAATATTTACGGATAGCCGAAATTTTGGAGTTCGTTATAAAAGAGTAATTTTCGGTACATTTAACTAAATTGGGACTAAGAAATGAGTTCCTTATAAGCGATAATTCCTTATAACCGTGTTCGCTGTAACCGTATATTTTTATATTAAATAAAGAAGGGCAAAATTCGGGCCAAAATAAATTGTTCCTTATAACCGGAAGTTCGCTATATCCGTGTTCGCTATAAGTGAAGTTTACTGTATGAAGTTTTTTCAAGTTTATCAGTCATGAGAAAAATGTTTGTTAATATCACAAAGATGTGCATGTTGGTATTGATTGCTATATACTGATGTTATCAATAGGCGAGTCTATGTTGCAAGCATTTGAAAGGGTCAACGTTATAAACTGCTGCAATAATGGGTTAGCGTTACAACCCATGATGTATGAATAGTTTTACTGTAGTTTTCATTTAAGAAAATATACTTGTCCATGCATAAATCTTACGCAACTGTGGACAACACACATAAAAATATACCTTTTAAATTAACCGGTATAAATTAACAAGTACGTTCTTTTTTTCTTGTCTACAGCAATCCCTAGGTGGAAAGGAGGATCTGGCCTTTAATGAGCAGATATGCCCATGACAATTTTATTGTCATCATTAAAATATCATATCAAAGTCGACACATGACAAATCACAGCTCTGAACACATGATTGACAGAAAGTGTATTACTTACATTTTGAGTCCTTAATAAAGCTAAAGCACTATTTTGTGGAGACATTGCCCCTAGATTATTGTAGTTATCAGACAGTTCAATCTCTGCTGGTTTCCCTTCCACGCGGCCGCCGGGACCCAGCTCTTTTACTCTGAAAACAAAAGTTATAAAGTCATATTTCTAATATGAATACCGTACCATCTCAAGATTAAATATCGGGGATGTTTTGTGTGTACACATTACAATACAGTTACTCAATTAGTTTTAACAAATATTTTAGACTGAGAAGAACACTGACAACTGAGCGTGTGGATGGCTTTTTAGAATAGTCATATGATCAAACATGACTGAACAGATAAAGGCTTCAGACCACAATCCTTTGGTTGAGAATTTGAAACATTTAGCACCTTCAAAAACAGTTCTGTACTCTTCAGCCATATTATTGAACCATCTTTTTATATTCCCCCCCCCCTTTTTTTTCTTTCAAAAAAACAAAACAAGAAACATGGCAATGCCATGAAACCAGGTTTTCAATTATCACCATTGTAGATAAATATGTTGTATTTGAAATACAAATACAAGCAACAAACAATGTAACTATGTGCAATGTAAAACATGAATAATGTAGGAGGAATTGCCACAGAGGAAGTGTTCACTATAATTATATTCTGTATAAGGAAACTAGAACTCCGCGAGTCGGATGTGTCGCCTTGTGAACAATGTAGTTTAGGAGAAATGGCCAGGAAAAAAATGAAATATGAAAAATAACAAAGGGCAATAACTAAAAAAATAATAAGTGCAGAGCAGCAGTTTGTGTGCACTGCACTTCTTATCAATAAGATCTATCATTCTATGATGTTTCAAGTCCATAGCTTTCATACTTGAGGAGAAATGACAAGGACAAAATTAAAGTATGAAAATAAACAAAGGGCAGTAACTCAAAAAATAATAAATGCAGAGTACCTGTTCTTGTGCACTGCACTTCTTCTTAATGAGACCTATCATCCTATGAAGTTTCAAGTCCATGGCTTTTATACATTAGGAGAAATGTCCCGGACAAAAATAAAGTATGAAAATTAACAAAGGGCAATAACTCAAAAATTAGGAAGTGCAGAGTACCTGTTCTTGTGCACTGCACTTCTTCTTAATGAGATCTATCATCCTATGAAGTTTCAAGTCCATAGCTTTTTTAGTTGAAGAGAAATGGCCCGGACAAAATTAAAGTATGATAAACAGGATTTTCAATGTTAATGTCACTGTGACCTTGACCTTGGAGCCAGCCATGCGGAACATGCGTTCTGCACGTCATCTTGATGTGGTAAACATTTGTCTGAAGTTTCATCAAAATTCTTCAAAGGGTTGAAGAGTTACAGAGCGGACAGGATTTTCAATGTTAATGTCACTGTGACCTTGACCTTGGAGCCAGCCATGCGGAACATGCGTTCTGCACGTCATCTTGAATGTGGTAAACATTTGTCTGAAGTTTCATCAAAATTCTTCAAAGGGTTGAAGAGTTACAGAGCGGACAGGATTTTCAATGTTAATGTCACTGTGACCTTGACCTTGGAGCCAGCCATGCGGAACATGCGTTCTGCACGTCATCTTGATGTGGTAAACATTTGTCTGAAGTTTCATCAAAATTCTTCAAAGGGTTGAAGAGTTACAGAGCGGACACAATTTCGTTTGACGCCCGCCCGCCCATCCGCCCATCCGCCCGCCATACCCCAATCTAATAACCAGGATTTTCAAAATTGAAAACCTGGTTAAAAATACCTAGGTTTTCTGCTCTTTGAGAGCCAAAATCATTCTATTAATTTCCAAAGCTTAATATGCATTTGATGGATCTTAATTTGTAACTTTATACAAGACTATCAGCTTCAAGACCAATTTTAAAAAAAACTAGAAATGTGTCATCATGCCACGGATGCCCCCGCATGCAGCCAAAATTTCAGATGGTGCTTTAATTATTTTTTTCATTTTAAGTTCAAAGCCCTTAAAACTTTTCAATGTTAACACAAACTATTTCCATACAATGTTCAAAGCACTGAAATTATTCAGTGTTAACCTTTTAGAAATAGCATATTGCATATTTGTAGCCAAAATAATGGCTAAAAGAATGAGTGGTGAAACTGAAAGTTCAAAATTTTTCCAACATTCAGGAAAAGATAAGTTTGTCTAAAATCATTGAACCACGACCAAATTCCAACTTAAACTGCTTATTCCTAAGATGTATCTATATTATTTTCAAAGTGAAAGACATAACTCTGCCAAAAAATCATCAACCATGACCAAATTCCAACTTGACCTGCCCATTCCTTTGACATATCCATATGTCAAATTAAAGTTGAATATGTGACACTGTTGGTAGATAATGAACAGAAACTGAAAATTTCATATTATTTTCAAAGTGAAAGGGGCATTACTCTACCAAAAATCATTGAACCATGACCAAATTCGAACTTGGCCTGGGCATTCCAAAAACATATCCATATGTCAAATTTGAGTTGAATGTGTTGTACCATTTGGGGAGATAATAAACGGAAACTGAAAATTTCATATTACTTTCAAAGTGAAAGGGGCATAACTCTGCCAAAAATCATTGAACCATGACCAAATTTGAACTTGACCTGCGCATTCCTTTGACGCATCCATATGTCACGTTTGAGTTGAATGTGTTGTACCTTGAGGGAGATAATGAACGGAAACTGAAAATTTCATATTATTTTCAAAGTAAAAGGGGCATAACTCTCCCAAAAATCATCGAACCATGACAAATTCGAACTTGACCTGTATTTTTTCATGACATATCAATATGTCAAGTTTGAGTTGATTGTGTTGTACCATTGGGGAGATAATGAACGGAAACTGAAAATTTCATATTATTTTCAAAGTAAAAGGGGCATAACTCTGCCAAAAATTATCGAACCATAACCAAATTCGAACTTGACCTGTATTTTCTCATGACATATCCATATGTCAAGTTTGAATTGAATGTGTCCAAACCGTTCTTAAGATAATGAACGGAAACTGAAATTTCATATTATTTTCAAAGTAAAAGGGGCATAACTCTGCCAAAAATCATCGAACCATGACCAAATTCGAACTTGACCTGTATTTTCTCATGACATATCCATATGTCAAATTTGAGTTGAATATGTCTAACCGTTCTTAAGATAATGAACGGAAACTGATGATGACGGAATGACAGAATGACGGAAGGACGGAAGGACGGAAGGATGGAAGGACGGAAGGACGGAAGGACGGAATGACGGAACAGGGTAACACTATATGCCCCGGCCATTACATGGCGGGGGCATAAAAATGTCAGACCTGGACAATTTTAAGTATCAGGATGAAAATATTTTGGAACATTGTCAAGGAACTCAAATACATGCATGTACATTATTGTAGTCACTATAAGTACATCTTTGCAAAATGACTTAATCTTTCTAATGTAGGATAAGTTCATTTTATGTCAATTAAGGTGAAATTATTTGTTGAATACCTGTCAGCATATCTTAAAGTGTTGAGCGTGTGTTCACAACAACCCATTCCTGGTGAAACCATTGAAATCTGAAATACAAAAGCATTCATTTTCAACACTTTTTGAAAATTAATAAATACTTTCAACATAAAATACTTTTATGAAATTGCATGTATTCAAGACACATTTAAATAGTAGGACAGTCCTGAAAAGTATCACTACATCATATCCTAACATTGTTATTCTCCCAACATTTTCAAAACAGAACATTTATATGTACATCAAAGTTTAATATCAAACAGGCCTAAAAATAGTGATGCAATGCCAAATTATATTATTTCATCAAAGTTGAAAATCAAACAGGCCTAAAAATAGTGATTCAATGCCAAATTATATTATTACATCAAAGTTGAAAATCAAACTGACCAAAAAATAGTGATGCAATGCCAAAACATATGAACTATGATAAGGAGAAATTTCTGAGTCTCAAGTTTCACAACTTAAATGATGAAACAAGATATGTTTGTAAAACATGTATGCCCCCTATCAGCAGCCAATTAGTCATGTGATAAGATTATTATGCATGACTTCTGACCCAGTGATCAAACAATTAATAAGGGTTATCAAGTATCTACTGGTCATGACCTTAACCTTTGACCCCTTGACCCAAAACTCAATAGGGGTCATCTACTGGTCAAGCCCAATCATCATACCAAGTTTGAAGTTCCTAGGCTTAAGCGTTTTTAGTTAATTGATCAGAAACCATTTTTACCTACAAGGTTAATGTGACCTTGACCTTTGACCCCTTGACCCCAAAATCAATAGGTCATCTGCTGGTCATGACCAATCACCATACCAAGTTTGAAGTTCCTAGGCCTAAGGGTTCTTTAGCTATTGATCAGAAACCGTTTTTACTTACAATGTCAATGTGACCTTGACATTTGACCCCTTGATCCAAAAATCAATAGGGGTAATCTGCTGGTCATGACAAATCACCATACCAAGTTGAAGTTCCTAGGCCTAAGCGTTCTTAAGTTATTGATCAGAAAACCGTTTTTACTTACAAGGTCAATGTGACCTTGACCTTTGACCCCTTGACCCAAAACTCAATAGGGGTCATCTGCTGGTCACGACCAATCATCATACAAAGTTTGAAGTTCCTAGGCCTAAGAGTTTTTAGTTAATTGATCGGAAACCGTTTTTTACCTACAAGGTCAATGTGACCTTGACCTTTGACCCCTTGACCCAAAATCAATAGGTCATCTGCTGGTCATGACCAATCACCATACCAAGTTTTGAAGTTCCTAGGCCTAAGGGTTCTTAAGTTATTGATTGGAAAGCATTTTTATCTACAAGGTCAATGTGACCTTGCCCTTTGACCCCTTAACCCCAATATCAATAGGGGTCATCTGCTGGTCATGACCAATCACCATACCAAGTTTGAAGTTCCTAGGCCTAAGGGTTCTTTAGTTATTGATCGGAAACCGTTTTTACCTTAGAGGTCAATGTGACCTTGACCTTTGACCCCTTGACCCCAAAATCAATAGGGGTCATCTACTGATCATAAACAATCACCATATCAAGTTTGAAGTCCCTAGGCCTAAGGGTTCTTTCGTTATTGATCGGAAACCGTTTTTACCTACAAGGTCAATGTGACCTTGACCTTTGACCCCTTAACCCCAAAATCAATAGGGGTCATCTGCTGGTCATAACCAATCACCATACCAAGTTTGAAGTTCCTAGGCCTAAGGGTTCTTTTGTTATTGATCAGAAACCGTTTTTACCCAAGAGGTCAATGTGACCTTGACCTTTGACCCCTTGACCCCAAAATCAATAGGGGTTATCTACTGATCATGACCAATCACCATACCAAGTTTGAAGTTCCTAGGCCTTTAAGTTCTTTAGTTATTGATCGGAAACCGTTTTTGCTTACAAGGTCAATGTGACCTTGACCTTTGACCCCTTGACCCCAAAATCAATAGGGGTCATCTACTGATCATGACCAATCATCATACCAAGTTTGAAGTTCCTAGGCCTTAAGGTTCTTTAGTTATTGATCGGAAACCGTTTTTGCTTACAAGGTCAATGTGACCTTGACCTTTGACCCCTTGACCCCAAAATCAATAGGGGTCATCTACTGGTCATGACCAATCACTATACCAAGTTTGAAGTTCCTAGGCCTAAGGGTTCTTTAGTTATCACTCGGAAACCATTTGGTCTACGGACCGACGGACCGACAGACCGACGGACCGACAAGTGCAAAGCAATATACCCCCTTTTCTTCGAAATGGGGGCATAATAATGTGAAAATCAAACGGACCTTTTAGCAGGGTCATAATTTGAGAAAAGTGAAATGTTGAGAAGAGGAATTTCTCTTCGACATTATGACTCAACTGTTAATATTTATTAAAGAACCTATAGGCTTCTATTGTTCTAGATATATATAAGTATATTTACCATACACGTTCTGGAATTATCACCGATAAATGAATCTCTCAACACTTGTGTAAGTTTACTGGCTCTAAATGGTAGGTATGCCCCAGCCTTTCTCCCCAAGGCTCGTATACACTCCTACAAACACAAGCAAAATACATGTATAAATAATAATAAAAGTGTTCATGTAACTTTACCCTCACTTATCAATGTGCTTACACTACAGCAGATATTGGACTATCTTTGTAACCCTGTAACCAGTTACACTTTGAATGCCCTAAAACAAAACTTATGCTCTTTTGCTCCTTTAGTATGCATCAAAATTTCAGAAATGACCTTAAGTTTTCATAACAATAGCATACGAATTAAATAGTTATATCTTTTCTAAACATAGAAAAGCCACATGACGAACCTGTTCATTTCTGTCATAAACAAAACAGAAAAGATATATATTCAAACCTAATACATAGAACAGCAAACAAACTTTTTATACTTGCATCAAATGAGCGAACAAAACACCTATTTAATAGCAGGTAACAGTAATGTAATTTTGATATATAACAATGAAATTCATTACACAAGTGCAGTATGATATAAATCAACTCATCAATAACGTACCTTCAATGCTAACAAGCTCTTGTTGATTTCAGCGCCTTCCATTCGTGTCTGTCTATCGGAGCTCTTTGTGTCTTGTCCTCTTTCATTACCTTAAATGAAAGCACACAGGTAAGATATTTTGTTGTTGACAACAACACTCTAAAGGTCTTATCATAACTTTTTATCATTTTTGGTGGAGGAAGACCTCATGCGTCCGTCTGTTTATTACTTCATGTAGAAGTGGGCACTTGGAACAGAACCACCAATCTTTTGTTATCTGGCAGGACAACATTCTCACATGAAAGATCCAAAAATGTTCAGATTTGAACAGTCAGCAGTGAGAAGGAAATGATTTTTAATCAGTGACATGGTGGCCCAATAGCAACATTTCATAAATGAAATAATGGCCGGTTGTCAGCCTTTGTGATATTTCATCAAATGCCAAAATACTTGTTGATTGTCAGCCTTGTCACATTTCATCTAATGCCAAAATACTTGTAATTATTTGAATGTTCATAACAAAATTTCACTTCCTTTAGACAGTTTTATCCTGTATTCCTGACCAGTAATCAAGTACATAATATAATATATAAGTAAATGAAAGCTATAAAATAAAATGTAAAGGTTATATATAAATGAAGCAAGATTTTTCTATCAGACTACATAATTTGCTAATGGTCATGTTTTCAATTTCACCTACCGAAACTTACCACTGTTCACTAAAGATTTCTGTTTGTAATACCAGATACATGTATTTGCATAATGAAAATGCAAAGTGGCAAGCCTCATTCTGTTAGCCAAGATATCAAAAGCTATCTTAAGGTGTCTCAAAATTATCAGAAAATTATGTTATGTGTAAGATAATTATGTAAAAAAAATTCAAGTAAAATCTTACCAGCTAAATCTATAAGGGAAAACTTTCCATATAACTTGTTTGTATTCCTGAAAAAAAAAACAAACAATATAATTGTTGGGATTTATGGTAAAAGCAGAAGTACATGCATTAATAAAGATGTAACTTAAAAGTTTTAAACCTAGTAATGATTGTTGTAAAACCAACTAAACATTAACATATGCTATATTCTTTGACATTCAAAAAATTCACAATTTTTCCTGATTTTGAAATTAATCAATTAATATAATAAATAAATTAATATGCAGTATCAAAACTTCAAGGTTTATAAATAACATTTTAAAGGGGATAGGTTTACAATGTTAATATTTTCCATAAGTATTTCAAATATTGATAAAAACGTGGATAAAGTTTTACGTGATTTAAAAAGAACATTTATATAATGATTAATAATTATATTTTGTTATAGAACATTTTATTATTTGCTATATAAATATATGTAATTTCTGATCATGTATCTCACACTTGCCTACAACATCCATGCATAATTCATTCGCGGCTTGTTGTTATGTCTAATACTTTATACTATCAACATAATTATTCATTGTATTTCAGACCTTTCATTATAGACCAATTCACTTTAAGTAAATGATATTATAATTTACAAAATCTTCTTACTTTTTTCGCAGTATAATCTGAAACACAGCATGTGAACGCGAGGAATGCTGATTTGCTGAGGTCACTCCCGAAGTTCGCACATTGTTCCCATGAGCCACCAGTCGTAATACATCATCGGCGCTGGATATCGTCTCCTCTTTCAAACCAACGACCTGTACCTGACTCTTGTGGTCCTCTAGAACCCGTAACTTTTGTTTCTTATTTAATAAATCAAAAACCTGAAAAACAAAAATTCAAGTATAAAACCACAATGTTAATATCAAGTAACAACACAATATAGTTGGTTTTTTTTCTATATTTATATTTGGAAATAATATATCTGTAGTTTCTACCTATAAAAGAACAAAAGTCTGAAATAAATTTCAATGAATTTTAATATAAAACCAAAATTTTAATTGCTATATACTGCATTTACAAATACCACAAATTTGTGTCATATAACTGTAGGTACTTAATTGCCCCTTAGATCTTACAAATAAAACAAGAATTTGTAACAGTTACCAACATCCCCCGCCTCGGGAAGTTTTATATGAAGCATAAAATTGTGCAATTTCAAAAGATTGAGGTATGGATCTCAGGACATTCAGTCCAAAATTATGATCAATGCTAGATCTGCAAATGTAATAATAAATTTGTTAAAAAGAAATAAAATGAAACACGGAATTTAAAAATCTATCATGTTAAGCTTTGACCTTGACCTTGGAGGTAGGGGAGCAGGTGTTGTGCATGACATAACGTCTCATTATTGACACTATTTGTGCCAAGTATTTTCAAAATCCCTTGAACTATGAAGAAGTTATAGATTAGACACAAAATATACCCTATAACAGACTATGTAAATCTTTGACCTCTAAGTGTGACCTTGACCTTGGAGGTAGGGACACAGATGTTACACATGACATATCATCTAATCATTGTGACTATTTGTGCCAAGTATTTTCAAAATCCCTTAATCTATGAAGAAGTAATGGACGGGACACAAAATATACCAAATAACAGACTCTGTTAACCTTTGACCTGTAAGTGTGACCTTGACCTTGGAGGTAGGGGTGCAGGTGTTGTACTTGACATATTGTCTTATTATTGTGACTATTTGTGCCAAGTTATTTCAAAATCCCTTGAACTATGAAGAAGTTCTAGATCCGACACAAAATATACCCTATAACAGACTATGTTAATTTTTGACCTCTAAGTGTGACCTTGACCTTGGAGGTAGGGATGCAGGTGTTGCGCATGACACATCCTCTTATTATAGAGACTATTTGTGTGAAGTATTTTCAAAATCCTTTGATCTATGAAAAAGTTATGGACCGGACACAAAATATACCCTGTAACAGACTATGTAAGTATTTGACCTCCAAGTGTGACCTTGACCTTGGAGGAAAGTGGCCGGTTTTTGCGCATGACACATCATCTGATTATTGTTAACAATTATGGCAAGTATTTACAAAATTCCTTCATAGATAAGAAAGTTATGGACCGGACACAACATATACCCTCAAATAGACAATGTTGACCTTGAATGAGCAAGTACGACCTTGACCCTGAAGGTACGGGTCTGGTTGTTGCGCATGACACATCGTCTTATTATAACAAACATTTGTGCCAAGTTATTTCAAATTCCTTTGATAAATGACAAAGTTATAGACCGGACATGAAATATACCCTGTTACAGACTATGCTAATAGTTGACCTCCAAGTGTGACCTTGACCTTGAAGGTAGGTGACCAGTTTTTGGGCACGACACATCGTCTCATTATTGTGAACAATTATGACAAGTATTTACAAATCCCTTCATAGGTAAGAAAGTTATGGACCGGACACGACATATACCCTCAAATAGGCAATGTTGACCTTGAATGAGCAAGTGCGACCTTGACCCTGGAGGTAGGGGTCTGGTTGTTGCGCATGACACATCGTCTTATTATAATAAACATTTGTGCCAAGTTATTTCAAATTCCTTTCATAAATGACAAAGTTATGGACCGGACACGAAAGTGTGACGGACGGACGTCCATACCAACTTTTCATATTTAAGAGGTAAATCAGCTCATAAACTACACCTGGACCAAAGTCCATAAGCAAAATCAGCTCATAAAATCAAAACAAGAGCTGTCGGTAGGACAGCAACGCTCGACTATTCTTAGTGCTTGATAGTAAAACAAATGCTTGATAGAGTTACCTCCTCCTGTTTACAGGTTGGGGTCATGATGGTGAACAAGTGTGCAAAGTTTCAAAGCCATATGTCAATGGACTTTGAAAATATTTGAACTATTACAAAAACTTTAACGTAAATTCTAAGTCGAAAAAGGGGCATAATTCTGTCAAAAATGCTAGATAGAGTTACCTCCTCCTGTTTACAGCTTGGGGTCATGATGGTGAACAAGTGTGCAAAGTTTCAAAGCCATATGTCAATGGACTTTGAAAATATTTGAACTATTACAAAAACTTTAACGTAAATTCTAAGTCGAAAAAGGGGCATAATTCTGTCAAAATGCTTGATAGAGTTAACCTCCTCCTGTTTACAGCTTGGGGTCATGATGGTGAACAAGTGTGCAAAGTTTCAAAGCCATATGTCAATGGACTTTGAAAATATTTGAACTATTACAAAAACTTTAACGTAAATTCTAAGTCGAAAAAGGGGCATAATTCTGTCAAAATGCTTGATACAGTTACCTCCTCCTGTTTACAGGTTGGGGTCATAATGGTGAACAAGTGTGCAAAGTTTCAAAGCCATATGTCAATGGACTTTGAAAATATTTGAACTATTACAAAAACTTTAACGTAAATTCTAAGTCGAAAAAGGGGCATAATTCTGTCAAAATGCTTGATAGAGTTACCTCCTCCTGTCTACAGGTTGGGGTCATGATGGTGAACAAGTGTGCAAAGTTTCAAAGCCATATGTCTATGGACTTTGAAAATATTTGAACTATTACAAAAACTTTAACATAAGTGGTTACGCCGACGCTCGGGTGACTGCAATAGCTCTACTTATTCTTATCGAATAGTCGAGCTAAAAATAGCTCTTAATTTGAATTTTATGAGCTCTTGTTCTTTATTTAACTACGGAATGAAGCTCATAAATATCAAATGTTTGCTCGGACGGACGGACAGAGCCTATTTCTATATCCCCCTTTTTTCTTCGAAAAGGCGGGGGACAATAACCAGACAATTGTTCAAAACAAAACACTATGCCAGATTATATAAGATCTCAACAGATGTTATTGGTTTTGTTTTTGTTTCATTGGGTTTTACTTCCCACCAACACAGTATATGTAATATGGTGACTTTGCATCTTTTATTGGTGGAGGAAGACCTTAGGTGCCCCTCTGTACATTATTTCAGGCACAAACTGGCACCTGAATAGAACCACAGATGTTCCGTCGTCTAGCAAGATAGTTTGTTATTGGCTGAGGAAGACCTCGGGTGCCCCTCCACTCAAGGTACAATATTAAGAAGTAAATATTATGGAAAAACACATATCTGAAGAAAAGCTGAATTTGAAAACAATTATATGGTGAAGTACTTGATCAAGGCAGAATTAATGGTTTCTAAAGGAAACAGAACATGTTCTTAAAACGCAAATTCTGCAACCCTAAACTATTTTTCAAAACAAGAAATTTACAGTAAACTTTTGAACAACAATTTTTCTTGAAAATAAACTATTTTCACAAAAGCCGAAAAACAAGAAATTTTACTCTTACCTTTCCACTATATATTTCAAAGAAACTTGACCCAACTATCAGATCTAACTTCTTAAATTTAGTATGAAGTAATTTAAAAACATCACGAGCTGAAAATATAAAAAAAATTCATTTTCTTCACAGAAATTATCAATAGAACATTAAATTTTTTTTAATATATACATGTCAATTAAGCCTTTTATAGGGCATATGCTACAGTTACAAATAGATATATGGAAGCATGAAAACTGCAAGATTCAAAGGAACTCCATTGAGGTTTTAAAATTGATTTTCTCTTCTCTTAAGTATATTTCTTTGTTATCTTTTGCTGATTTTTCCATTCAAAGTGTGTCTCTTCCCTAAACAAGAATTTCAAATTTTATGTATTTAGGCTATTTCCTTTACACCACAAAAATGTTAGAAACTTTTTGTTCCTAATTAAGTATTTGTATTATCTACCAAACTGACCTGCTAGACAATATATTCCTTTTGCACACTCCTGTTGGCCCCTACCACCAGAGAATTCTCCTCCCATAGTCTGAAACAAACAAAATTTTGGTATTGATAAAAACACTGGACACTGGCTCACAATTCTTTTATATTTTGTTGCAATTATACTTCTTCAGTACTATTAAACAATATACGAGGGATGATCAAAAATAAACCGGACTGTTATTGTCAATTGAAGAATTTTCAACCTATCACATATTGTTATATATCACACTTAATCGGAAAACAATACCTGTAAACTGATGCTTTTTCTAATCTAATAACGCAAAAAGCTTGTCCGTAACAGCGAATTCAAAAACCATGGCAACGTACAACCGGCGCAGTGCGTAAATTCGCCTTGACATCAGGCGCGTTAAGCTGCGTATATTCTACAAAATGGCATATTTATATTTTAAATTACGCAAAAATCGTCATGAACCATATCTATGACGTTGTAAGTAAAAATGACTTAACTTAAACGATATTTATATTTGCAATCACAATTCAAACGTCACATGTTTAATGAAATACTCCCGTTAAAACTATGTCGTCGGAATGTCTCGAAAATCGATCAATAAAAAAAATTGTCAAAAGTTAGACAAGAAACTGTTTAAAACGTAGAAAAAGATTATGGCTATCAAGGGAAAAGTACCAGAAAGCCACAGCATATTTTTTATTAGCAGAAAGAATTAAGAAAGGGTAATAGAGAAATAGAAAACAAGTAAGGGAGAGACAGAAAAAATAAATTTTCAAGGACGTTGGTGACGTCAATCGCCAAGACGTTGAAAAATGACAATCGCTTGACTGCGGACATTGTCAACGATGTTCGACAGTAGCTACGGGACTGTACAAACAACTCTAAGGATTTTAAAATGATAATAGCTAATGCATTAATTACATATATTGTATTCTTGGTTTACAATTGTATCAATTATTTTCTTATTTTACGCGGTAGTTTTATGGAGATATTGTGTCAACAATTATACAGTCAGTCACTGTTTAAAATCGGCTATGCGTTTTATTTATTTTAAAATAATGACAATTTTATTCATTGTTGTATTATTCTTTTATTTTATCTTATGTATGATATATTATCATTCAGCAACATTATTTTACATTATTTGTAATACATAATATAGTTAATTGCATGTGTGATTTTTCCAACAAGGAAAGAACGGAAGTTTGCGTCATTACAGGAGCTCTTTATCATCATCTATTCTTTTACAATACAATATGATACCCACTTGTATAGAAAATATATACGTAGGCAGTGGATCCGCTGCATCACAACATGACTGTACCATGTATTGGCCAACTCCGTAATGAGTAAAAAGCTGATCCGTTAGGGAAATACGCCTGTGACGTCGTTAACGTCAATTTCAAAGTTAAATCGTGCGCCGCATTGCTTTACATGTACCTGCCAATAACGTCATATAATTTTTTTCTTTGTTAATATTTCTTGTTGGTATTTTTTGTATCATTCAGGGGATAGATTCCGATTTATTGTCCGTGTATTTTTATCTAAATTCATTTAACAGGTAAATAATCATTTACAAAGTCCGGGTAATTTTTGATCATCCCTCGTAGTTTTGGATCTTATTCAATTATCTTTAACATTAGAACAACTGCAAAGTGCCATATGAAAGTTTTGGAACTGTCCTTTGTCATTTTGAGGGTATCAAGAAGGTGATTTCAATTTGGTTAGTCTACAATAAGGAATCTGGTTATGCAGCACAGATGTGCAAACTGTGTAGGTTCTATGATTGTTGCAAAGGAAAGTTTCTTTCATTACCAGTATTTTAATGATTAACCATGAATTATAATTGAAATTATGGTTAAAATTGTTTGTTTTTTTGTTGTTTTTTATAAAATATAGTATCAATTTAGCAATTTTCATTCAACAAATGGAATGGCATAAGTTTCAAATCTGCAAATTTAAAAACAAGTAAATGTGTAAACAGTGAATACTCACATGTGTTTTGCCACTCCCAGTTTGACCGTAGGCAAAACAGGTGGCCATTCCTCCTTCAAATATACAATCTACCAACGGCTTTGCCGTATACCTGGAAATCAGCAAGTCAAGAAATCATATATGATTTTCTTGTATTGGCATCAATAACATTTAACTAATTATATGTATAAAATTTAAATCGAATACAATCTCGCAATAACTTAAATGAATCACCTTTGTGAGGGAAGTAAAAAAACTAACCTATAAACCATTTCATTTGAGGCATTTTCATCGAATGCATAGTCGAAACGGAAGTTTTGATTTTCCAGGTACTTTGTAAGGTCCACTTTGGTCTTAGGCTCATGTACTATCACATTTTCTTTGTTTGGGACTGTTGTAACATTCACCTCCTTCTTTTGAAGTTCTATAAAAATAAATACATGTTACTATTACAAACAAGCATACATACAAATGAAGAAAATATTTTTTTTTTTTTTTTTCAGGTTTAATAAGTTTTCTATTCAATAGTCTGTATGTATTCCAATAGAGAGGGTGACTTAGTTAAGTTTCTTTTTAAGTACTAACAAAGAGGGAAAGCTACTATGTTTCCCGTTGCCTAGTCTCAGTATCAATTAAGTGACCTCAATACTTTTTAAGAAAAAAGTTAAAGCCATTATTTTCTCAATTGAGTGGTCTCAATAAATTTGGTCATCAAAGAGGGTAAGCTAGCATGTTTTCTATTACATGGGTTTCAATATATAACAACAATATTAAACAATTACCTTTTCTATTATGGGTCTCAATATATAACAACAATATTAAACAAGGGTGCCATAGTCACAAAATACGCCCGTTTACGAAAGCTTTAGATGGAGATGGGGGCATTATGGATAAGTGTTATCTAGCAAGCAAGTTTTTATCCTTGGCACTGTGTTGTTAAATGAACCTTAAAACAAATCAGTAGGGAAGATAAAAAGTACATGTAATTGTAATTTAATAACTAAAAAATTCTGATTTAAGATTTTATTCTAGGGAAATACATTTCATTACAATTCTTAATCTTTGAATGAGCTGAACTGATATTTACTTGAAAATTAAAATATAATTAAATTTCTATGGGAAAGTATTTACATTTGATAAGGTAATTACTGTATGATCTTTATGAACAAATACCAAGTCTACAGAACACCATAGTTATCAAAGTTAAGAATCTTGACCAATGAATGAAACATGTGTAAATAAATGTTACATTCTTTAGAACATACTCAAGTCCAAGAAAGAGGATTATTTTATGCCCTTTGATTAAATTCTATTTTTAGAATTGAAAGTGAAAGTAGATCAAGGGGAGTAATTGTGTAAGTCATTTATGAACAAAGTAATAACTTTGTTGTCGCCCTTTGATTAAATTCTATTTACAAAATCTGGATATTTCATCATCTTTAGTGACCTTGACCTTGTATATATTGACCTAAATTATATGTATCACAGCCATAGTCTTGATAATTGACCATTTGTGTTACAATCCCTCAATAAATGATGACTAAATGGTCCATATACACATCTTCATATTTTTATCTGAACTTTGACCTCTATGTGTGACCTTTGACCTTGGCCGCAAGGACCTGAATCTTGCACGCGACACTCCGCCTCACAATGGTGAACATTTATGCCAAGTAATATTGAAATCCCTCTATACATGTGGAAGTTTTGCTCCGGACAAGCATTTTTCAATGACCTCTAAGTGTGACCTTGACCTTTGACCTAGACCTGGTTCATGTGCGCGACACTGCTCCTCATAGTGGTGAACATTTCTATGAAGTTTCATTAAAATCCCTCCATACATGTAGGAGATATGCTCCGGACAAAATTGGACGCCGCCCGCCCGCCCGCCAGGGGCGTTCCCATAATACGTCCCGTTTTTCAAACGGGCGTATAACAATTACCTTTTCTATTGAGTGGTCTCACTCTAACACAGACACAGATTTGGTGGTTCACTATAGGATCAGAGGACGTAAGAGGTCGGTACTCCAGGTGAGCTCTGTATTCTCTGAAAACATTACATAAAATGTATATACATATAAATATATACCTAGGAATGGCATATTAAATTTGCACAAAAAATTACAAAATCAAACGTGTTTAGCTCAATGAGAAAAGCATTGGATTAGTAATCAAGGTATTGCTGGTTTGATCCTTCGGCAGTGCGAAAATTCACCATGACAACTAATCTCAGACATTGAGTCTAATAGTTACATTGTATTTGTCTCTCAAATAATATTGCATTAAAAGCAGCCACAAGCAGGGGAATAATTACTGGTTAATTATCCAGATAAGCTGGTAAGTTGGATCCTTGGCCTAGATATAATTGAAAAATTGGCTTAAATAAAATAGCGAAATAAAAAAAATAAAACTGATCACGATTTTGGAACAAAATCATACCACATAATGTAATAAGGTAGGAACTATGCCAAGTTATTTGAAAACCTCTATACGACACTAGAACGGAAAGAGAAATAAATTCACTTGAATTATTAAATCCTATTAAAAGTAAGGCCAACGGTAAACATGCATGTCAGAAAAGACATTTCAGTAAGATTTTTTTTATTTCTGTACAAAATTGTTTATCAATGTACGTCATAAAATTAAAGATAAACAATAGCTATATATAAAAACATTTTTCATCCTTTGTATAAATGAGACAACATACTTGATCATGGCTGAGAACTGCCAATTAGGATCAGTGGTGTCATACTCCACTTCCTGTTGCTCTCGTATAGCAGCATGCTCTTTTCTTCTATCCTTTCTTCTTTGTTCGATCCTCTCTACCTCTTTCACACAATTTGATTTCCTACGATCAGCTGCAAAACAAGATAGTTCACTCTTCATACAAGTTTTAGTTTATCCAGACTTTATTTTAATTTGTGTAAGAAGCTATAAGCTTAAAGACACACTCTTGAATCCTTTCCGTGAACTAACCAGAACTGAGAAACAAGTGTAGTTTCTAGCTCAAGGAAACAACAGATTGCCCTTGACAATGGTGCAGCCCACATGGCTAGTGATCCTAAGATTATTACTTCTTACAATGTGTTAACCTCTCAGCCATGCCACGACATACAAATTCTGCACATTTTTCAATGTGAATGATCTTAACATTTCTATTATCTATAAACACAGTTTCTGTTTACAGGGCCAAAAAACCCTTCTTTGTAGAGGCCAAATTATAAAGGTTGCTTCCCCAACCAAACTAGCCTCTTTTTTCCCCCCAGTTTGGTCCTCAAAATTCCCCAGTCTTTTGAAATTTCCCATAGAATTTAGAACAAAATTAAATGATGGTGTTGAATTAGGGTCTTTTACTGCCTTATTAGTATTTTCCAGTGCTTTTTGCTTTTCTATTTTGAAGAACTTGTTTAAATTTCGTGTTAAAATTTAAAACCTCTTCCAAAGTATACCAAAATCACGCATATTTTCCCCAAGAATTTTCCCCAAAAAGGCGTTTTGGCCCTGGATTATTAATAAAGTAATTTTTGTTTCACCACAAAGTACATTTTCCGCATTGCATCATAAAGATGTCTGACATGTTATATGGCCATATATGTATATTAACATTGTTTGCAACATACTAAAATATACAAATAGAAGGTAACATTAGATGTGATATATAAAACCTATTTAAAAAGCAATTTTATAAGGAAAATTGAAACTATACCATGAAGTGTATTTTGAATAAGGGCCTTTATTTGCAAAATAAAGAGCAGAACATTTTGAAAATATTTTCCTTTTTGACTTAATTTTGCATTTTGCCGTCTTTCCCGTCTTTACCTGATAAATGATAATGATTTTAAAGAAAGTGTAATTCTTTTTTTTTTTTTACTATATTGTTAGTAGTGTCCTGCTCTTTAACAGAACATATATGTATGGTTCTCTATAACTCTGTGATATATATAAGCTACAGCATACAGTGCCACCTCTGCAGAACTGTCCTCCATAGCACCATAACTCTGACAACAACAGTATCATTCTTTCATTACCTTCCTAAGTAATTTAGAAAACTCAAATAAATTCAGCCTCTCTAGAGCTATATTTTGTGTCCACCCATAAAAGTTTCCCCACTGCAGAGGCTGTACTTTATTTTTCAAGATATTTACATGGTACAGGTATTCCTGGTTTCTTCACTTCATTCGAGTCAGCCTGACCATTCTGCTGTGTGGCTGGCGGTCGTGCGGCATAGCTCTGTCGTGACCTTGCTGATCCCGCTGAAAGGAGAAATGAGTTTTCAGTTACATAAAAAATTTAGCATTCTGCTTTGTAGTTCAAATAATCACATCAGCTATAAACACTTCTGTGCCAGTTTTTACTTTAAAATGAAATAAGTATAATACAAAGCAAACCTAAATGAAGAAAGAGTCTTGTCATGACCACAATACTTCTACAATAATTTTACCTTCGTTAAAAGGTAATATACTCATGCCACTGTGAAGTACAAAAAATTAAATGGTTCATAGATATGAAAGAAAAATAATATCATGATACTACCAAAACTGAAGAAATAATAAAAGGAAAAGTTGAACACAAATCATAATTGTTTGAAGAGAGAATTGTAAAAAAAGTACAAGTTAAAGGATCAAAGGTCAAATTGTTAGTAAAAACACAGATGTAAGAAGTATAGAAAAACAAAGATAAATCATATATTTGATAAATTGTAATAAAAAGGAAAAATGTGTAGAAAGGAAACAAGAGGGCCATGATGGCCCTGTCAAGTCACTCACCTGTATATAGGCCCCCGGAGCGGGACCAGTTTAAACCCAAGGGCTTTTATTTGAACAAACTTGGTAGACACCCATTAGAAGATGTTTCATGCTAAACATCTATGGTCTAGCTCATTGGGTTTTTGGAAAGAAGATTTTTTCAAGTTTTTTCTTTACACATATAGTTAAAAACAATGACACACCTGGACAGGGCAAGTTTTGACCCCAGGGCTTTTATTTGAACAATCTTTGTAGAAACTTACTATAAATTGTCTCATGCTTAATATCTAAACTCTAGCTATTCTGGTTTTTCAAACAAGATTTTTAAGTTTTTGCTATACACATATAAGGAAATCAATGCCCCCCGGGGCCGGCCAATTTTGACCCCAGGGCTTTTATTTGAACAAACTTTGTACACACTCACTAGAAGATGCTTCTTGCTTTATATCTAAACTCTAGCTATTTGAGTTTTTTCAAAGAAGATTTCTTAAGTTTTTGTTATACACATATAAGGAAAATGAATGACCCCCGGGGCGGGGCCAATTTTGAACCCAGGGCTTTTATTTGAACAAACTTTGTAGACACTCACTAGAAGAAGCTTCGTGCTTAATATCTAAACTCTAGCTAATTGAGTTTTTTCAAAAAAGATTTTTTAAGTTTTTGCTATTCACATATATTAAGGAAAATCAATGACCCCTGGGGCGGGGCCAATTTTGACCCCAGGGCTCTTATTTGAACAAACTTGGTAGACATCCATTACAACATGTTTCATGCTAAATATCTTAGCTCTAGCTCTTTGAGTTCTTTAAAAGAAGATTTTTTAAGTTTTTACTATATGCATATAGGGAAAAATCAATGACCCCCTGGGGCGGGGCCAATTTTGACCCAAGGGCTTTTATTTGAACAAACTTGGTAGACACCCATTAGAAGATGGTGCATGCCATATATCTAAGCCCTAGCTCTTTGGGTTTTTTTAGAAGAAGATATTTAAAGTTTTTTTCTTTTGGTTGCCATGGCAACCAGAGTTCTGCATGGAATTAAATTCTTTGAACAATTTTCAAAGGTGACCACCAAAGGAACATTCCTGTGAAGTTTGGATGAAATTGGCTTAGTGGTTTTTGAGGAGATGTCATTTAAAGTAAAAGTTTACGGACGACCGACGGACGGACGCCAGACGAAAAGCGATCACAAAAGTGACAAGGTGAGCTAAAAAAAGCTAATAGTATGGATTTACAAGAGTACCCTTAACATTGACAGATGCCACTGATATCAATTTACAAAGCAAGCAAATATGGCTTTCCTCTAAGGGGAAGTGAAAAAAATCTATTTTAGCCATGTTGACCTTTGACATTGTCAACCCAAAACCTCATTCAAATGGTCTTTGTCTTAGTCTACATACAAGACCATTAATGAAGATAGCATGAGGAATGTTGGTCAAGTAAGGACTGACTGGAAACAATATGCTCCAATGATGAATTTCAAGGGCATAAAAATTTGTCTAACCAACTGAGGATCAAATGATATTCAGAACTTGTTATGGAAATCATTTCATTTCACCCATAGATCGTATGAGGTGTAGTGGTACACTACAAATATAACTAAGCATAGGCCATTTGTTACGAGATTTGAGAACACATTATTATTTTTTGGTTTGGTTTTACAGCCCATCAACAGAATTTAGGTCATATGGCGCCAAAACAGGAAAGAAGATTTTGGCTAACCTTGGGTGTTACAAAACTTAAAGGAACACCAGGGGTCAAAACCACCTCACCTGCTTGAGCTTAGAGATGCACAGACAATAGTAATCAAAACCATTTAGTCGCATCTTACCATCAAGCAAGGATAAAGGGTGGCTGTAATTTTGATGCTTTAACCCTTAAAGACAACACCTAAGCCAAAAAGGGGGGTTGAAAACACGTGAAAAATTTACACAACAGCAAACACTTTGTGAACAAAGTCCCCCATAATATGAATGGACTTAAATCATTGATGATGGTCTGCAAAATATATTTTCAGTGATATACAAAGAAAAACGATCATGAAGTAATTATTTCTCCTAAGTAGATTATAATACTCATTTAATGAATACAATGACTGTTAAATACTATTTATAAATTTAACTGAAAGAATGAACAAGATTTTTAAAGAAGTCTATGTTAATCAGAGAAATAGAAAAGCTAAAAACTCAGATCAAGGTCTGAGAAATGAGTAACTTCAAGAACATGTGGGTGATAAGAAAAAATTGCCTGGTGCTTTACCTTTAACCCTGGAGGATGCTGATGTTGGTGCTAAAAATTCATCATTTTATAGTATATATACATTTTTTTCTTCATTTTTTATGGGTTAACATACTTTAAAGTTCATACATTATTAACCCTTGCCACGCTAAATATCTTAAATGCACTTGTCCATCTTAAACCATTTAACATTTTTAAGGAAAATTTCTATATAAATACTGACTGAAAAGACCCAAGAGCTGACCAAGATCAGATGAACTATCTTGGTTTGCACTGGTCGCACCGGTATATTCAGTTGTACAGTGGTTAAAGGGATAAAATTTTGTAGAACAGTCTCTATTTGGATTTAATATATTGTGTGGAAAGACCACAAGTGCAAATTATTGACAACATTTCATGCTGAAGAGTGAATTTCAGATGGATTTGATGGAATATTTTAATTCAGACACATTTTAAAACATAGATTTTACCATTTAACTGCTCATTTACCATACAAAAATTTTAGTCTTAAGTTTCCATACACAACATGATCTGTCATACTGACAATCATCCTAATAACTCACCTCTATTGCTGAACCTTGGTGTTTCCTGAACATTGTTTTGTGTGACTCTATTGCTCTGTAATTATAATACAAAATTTCAATTATTGCATAAAACTAACAGGTATTCATGTATATTACAAAGTAAAAACTATTATGACAATAACACTAGAATGTTTTACATACTTAGATAATATTCAAACATGAAACTGATAATAAATGCTAAACTTATTTAATTCATCGGTGGCATTTAAGCCTCCACCATGAAGACTTTGTGGCACAATCCAACCATTCTGCACCAGTGCATTCCAACTCTTCAATCACTTTAAATTAATTAAGATTGATAATTTACTATCTAAAACAGGACCCTTTAGGTAATTTATATTGATAATTTATCCCGGACACAGTATTTTTTAAAAGAAATGGAGATATGAAACAATGTTTCAAGTATTTTTGAAATCACATAAATAATAGCAATGATCAATACACTGTTTTTAAAGTAAAAATACCAAACCAAAACTTTCCTTTTTCAAGCTACAAAACCATGCTCAGGATAGTTCGAAATTTTTTACTCAAGTTTAATTTGAACTAAACAAAATAAAAAATATGACTGAAATTTCTATAAATAAGTTTAACAAGGAACAAAAAAAACAACAACAAGACATATGAGAAGACATCAGTAGTGAAAATCAGAAAGATTAAAACATTGAGCAATGATTCACCTGTCAATCATTTTAATTATTATCAAAATGTTTAATGCAAAAACCAAAATTTCTTTCACAAATAGCTAGGTCTGCCTCAAATTTAAAATCTTTACTGTATAAAGAAACAATACAAATTGTTGTTTGTACTGGTGTTTCACGCATGTTAATTAGCTGTAAATGAAGTATTTCATATTAACAAAACAATCAATTATATCAATTTTTCAGGATAGACAACTTTAAAAGGGAAATAACTTTTACTGGCTTCATTATTCAGTCCTAAAAACAAATTATTGGCCCAATACAACAATTTAATCAGTTATTATATTGCCTGATAAAGAAGCTAGCATATTCAACAGGCCTAATTAATAGTAATTATTCAATGCACCAACATTTGAAACCAAAAAGTCAGCCTAATATTATCAGTCTTTGGGAAAATGTATTGGCCTGATATTGCATTAAAATCTATTATTAAAAGTGTTATTGGCCTAAACAACTTTTTTAAAAGCTATTATATAGCTGAATAGGACAATCTGCAAGACTCAATTATTAGCTGATATATCACAAACTGATTAAATTAGTTACTTTCTTACCAGTTGATCTTTTACCAAAATCTCCCATATTTTCTAATAGTATAATTTATTTAAAACATGCAGATTATTATTTAACAAAAAATATTTCTACGTACAAACTATTGCCAAGTTATATTAGGTGTCAAGCAGTTTCTTCTCCTGTTCAAACTTATATGTCAGAAACACCTGTGAAATGTACTTTTTTTTATTTTTTAATTATAAAACATTTCAAATGAGTAACAGATTACTCAATGAGGGATTGACTTAAATGGGCCGAGAGACGCATACACAGTTTATACCATGATAATGAAGGAGAAAAATATTTGACCCAATACAAGGAAAAACTGCCGTTCACAAAAAAATGACAATCTATCAATAATCAGTACATTAAAATCATTTTCTTCTTCCTTTTTTATTAATGAATCATGTTAAAAAAAAAAACACATACATTACATAAAGTAATGATCTATATCGATTTAAATAACGCAAATAAGAAACTGTTAAAAGGTTGTAAGTGCACAATTTATATAACACCTTAGGAAAGAAAATGAATAAATGGTAAACAAAATAATATCATACTATTTAATAGCCAATTATTCAAGCAAGGATTTAATAAGTAACATGGGCAAAGAAACATCTTTTTAATATCACTGCTTATCTCCCAATTAAAAAGAAATATTACTGTAATAGCCTACATATAATATTATGTTCAACCAATGTATTTCAATTTAAATATTTTCCTTGATGTGTGCAATGCAAAATTGTAACCATGTACTAAAAGATGTTAATCTGTTATTACCAACTCAACATAAATATAGTTATGGCCTTCTTTAAAATAACAAACTGCAGATTATTAAAATGCAACTTTTTTCTTCCATAAATGAAAACAGCAAATATATTAAAGTTGTATATTAAGCAATCAAGCCCAAGTTGTCAAAGATTATCTTAATGTCTAATTAAAGCTTAAGTGTGTAATATTAAAATCTGATATTCATATCCATTAACACAATATAAACTTTAATTTGCAACTTTTCAAATTCAGGAGTCCATGTTTAAACTGGGTCTTATTTTAATTTTATACTTCATTAAATCATAAAATATGATATTTAACTAATATTACAAGTACATGCTTAACTTTCTCAAGAATTTATGGCTGTCACATGTACACAAGTTCATAAACCATGTACACATCAGTCATCTTGGGATTTAGTTAAATAATTCCAATAAATTGTTGTCACATTACATTATTTAGCACATCTGTAAGTCATCAACTAACTAAAACTCATTGTTTTTCTGTAACCAGTTCAATTTGTCCAAACAGAATTCATTTGCTTTAAATTTAGACAAGTTCATTTTTAGTAATTTAATGAATTTTATCATAGAAATAATCAATATGTGTAGCCAACAGTTTTGAACCAGTCAAACTACAAGTCAGGCTCTGTATAGATGGCACAGTCATTAGCCATTACAGCTAAAGGCTCTAGTATGATGCTTTAAGATTGTTATATAATAGCAATAGACAGTTTACTGGAATTGTTTAGCCAGAACTGTTTTGGCTAAGATATTTCCTAATAAATAATAAACTATCAACAACCGAACTTAACATGCATGTTGATAAGGTCAATTATACGAATAATTTGTCTCAAACTTACTTTGATAGTTTAAAAGTGCATTTTATCTGCAAAAGATGTTATCCAGAACTTGGCAAATGTGGATTTTCCCAGCTAATCCCCCGGTACAAACAAACTTTTACCATTATAATTCACGCCACACAATCTGTCACAATACATGTAGATAAGTCAACCTGCAACCCTTGCTCTTAATTTCAAAGCTGTAACTGTAAGTTTGTTTTTACCCCAGGATTAGCTGGGGAAAACCCAAATATTCTTCCGGAGTAAGTCTATTAGCAGTTAATACTATATTGAATCTGTTTAAATTGTGATGAAGTTTAAATTGGCTCATTCTGCTGGCCCCCCCCCCCCCATGTAAACTATATTTTATCATAAGCCTAATATCAAGGTACATATTGTATCAGGAGTATGGTTATTCTCTTATGTTGTCTACAGAAAAGCAACAACAACTTGTGTATATGTGGCAGCCAAACCTGAAACAAAAGCATCTCTATAACACTGATTATATACATGATAATATTCAAGCAACACAAACTAGCACAACATATTCTTGTATATTTTTCTTCATATCTCTAAGCCTTTCTAAAATATATATATGTATATATATGTATGTATGTATGCATAAATAACAGGCACTTCCTAGATCAAACTTTCCAATATCTATGCAATATTGGAAACAATAGCTATATAAATTCTCTTTAACAAATTAAATATTTTCATTAAGTGTAACTATTTTTGTATCTTAATAATAAAACTTGCTTTCAATTACGACAAAATTGCATTTTTTTTTTACAAATATTAATCAGACCTGTGACTTTTACTTTTCTTAATAACAAAAAAACTACATCAGATATCTTCATATTTTTGCCATTAGACTTAATTTTGATTTACAATGTGTCAAATTTGCAATTATATATTTATCTCAAATCAATACATTTTTTTACTAGAAATAAAAACAAAAAAAATGTTTGACAAATAATTTGTCATCAATTTATTCACAACAGAAACTATAGGGCTTTGTTTTCAATACAAAAAAAAGATTTTTGTTTTTTGTAAGAAAAAAATGCAAACTAATTATATTAAAAAATAAATAATTTCTGACAAAATGTCAAGATCTTAAGAAACAACAAGAATAACTTAATTCTATTAATGACCCTGGCCTGTATATTATGTCAAATATTGTGTCAATATTAAAATTAAACTTTGCTTGAGTCATGGTCTACCCTGACATCAAATTTATTTATCTCTGGACAAAAAGTAATCTTTGTCGTGACAAATAGTCAACCAATCTCTTTAACAGACAAAAATGATTGACACAAAATCAAGCAAGTCAATAACTTAAATATAATGAAAAAATAAAGCAAAACATCATTTCCTCAACATAAGTTTCCCTCAAACTGTAGCCATTCTTCTCTTTTATACATTGTATCTGACTTTGAAAAAACAAACTGTAGCTATACATGCATATAACATTCCTGGACATTCCAAGCTTAGTATCTAACATAATTATAGCTAACAAACTATATAAGGACTGCAGTGATCCCTCTTGTTCATTCCTAAATATAACAATTACCCAGCTATATCCACGAAATTAACTTTTCAAATTTTGAATTTATAACAATCTATTGATGTTAAAATGAATTTCATTGACAAAATAATGACAGTGATCAAGCCAGTATCCAGTAGCATAAAACCTGGTTATGGAAGCATTTCATTTAAAATATTTTCAACACAAGTAAATCATCAATTCCTTTGGCAAACATAAGTCATAGCTTTCAGAATTTAAAATCATTACTCGTGTGAAAATTTGTAGCATCAGGCTGTTTTGATTAAGAACACAACATTGGGATTCAAACATTTAATTCTGCGGGTATTGAAATCTCAATAAGAAATCACGACAATCCTTAGCAACATTATAATCATGCACTTCAACCCATACATATCCAAATATTATACACAATGAGGTAATACATTAGAAGAGTTTGCTCTACAACAAAAGAAAAACCGTGATTATTATAGAACAGGGATTATGTGTTTTGACCTTTTTTCCACCACGACCCCTGCCAGCAGGGGGCACAGCTTGATCCGAGGGGCTAATACTGCCATTGGTGTATGTATCCTCATCATCATCAGCATCATTGTTCTGTTGAAATTAAATGGTCATGTTATATGAGAATGGAATGGATGATATGAGCCGTGTCCCGACAAAACCAACATAGTACGTTTGCGACAAGCATGGATCCAGACCAGCCTGCGCATCCGCGCAGTTTGCACCTGATCAGGATCCACGCTGTTCGCTTACCAACCCTATATAAGTAGAGAAACTGATAGCGACCAGCATGGATCCTGATCAGACTGCGCAGATGAGCAGGCTGGTCTGGATTCATGCTGGTCGCAAACGCACTATGTTGGTTTTGTCGTGACGGGGCTCATATATAAAAGGTATGGTTTGTTTGTTTTGATGGATTTTAAGTCACACCTACACTGTAAAGGTCAATGGTGACTTTCCAGCTTTACTGGTAGAGGAATGCCTCAGATGCCCCTTTGTACATTATTGCAGGCACGAGCGGGCACCTGAGTAGAAGCTGGTTAGTTTGCCTACATAAAACAATCCTAAGTCTGTGATGTGATTCAAACCCACATCGTTGTGGGCAAGTGATTTGAATTCACTGACTAACAACTCAGCCAAAAACTTAAAAGTAGTTCATCTCCTAAAATTTAAGTTATCATCAAATGCAGTCTCCGATTGTAGGTGATTACACCATACAGACAATAAAATTTTTCCTGCAACTATTGCATTCAAGATTACCATAACTTGGTTTTATCAAATATTCAAAAGAAACCATCTATGTTCATAGACAGTGCTTGAATAAGACATTTTCTGGTACTCGAATAATTCTACAAGCATAATAAAATTTCATCAAGTTTATTTAGTTTGTTAAACACACAACATAGCTTGCAATTTTCTCATGAATATTTAAACATGTAAATTATTATTCACTTGCTGTATATACAACATTTTATTGAAAGTATACCATCAAGTGTGATCCAGATATCTTATAAATATAGCCTGTCAGCCAAGTAAGATGTCCAAACATTTTCATTATATTTTACTTTCATTAAAGCAGTGCTTAAAGTAAATGCTAGTATCCAAAACATAATTACTTTTTTCAAATTTCAATGTGCGCAAGTGTTTAATTCAAGCCCTGTTAGCAGAAATAAACCTTAACCTGCTGGACCCCTGAAGTTATCAACCATAGCCACCAGTATAAAGCCAGACCGGCCTGCACATCCGTGATGTCTGGCCAGGCTCTATACTGATGGTACTTTCATTTGAAATCCCTAAAATCCCTTGAAAGGGCTATCCCAGATTCAACAGGTTAAGCCTTAAGGGTTAAACCTTTTACAAATTAAGGCAGCAAAGCAAAGAAGAGTGCCGAGAGTTCAATTATTATTTGAGCTGTGTCATGACAAAACCAACATAATGGGTTTGCGACCAGCATGGATCCAGACCAGCCTGCGCATCCACGCAGTCTGATCAGGATCCATGCTGTTCGCTTACAAACCCTATAACAAGTAGAGAAACTGATAGCGAACAGCATGGATCCTGATCGGCTGGTCTGGATCCATGCTGGTCGCAAACGCATTACGCTGGTTTTGTCGTGGCGCGGCTCTTTATTTTGTATTTAGTTTATGTTAGAAATATTTTTAATTGTGTAATGAAGTATGAAATTTGGGTTTTGACATAGGATAGTGATCAAAATATAACAAATCCAAGATTATCATGGTTGCGTAATTATATATGAGGTGCAATTCAACAAAATAATGGTTAAGTAAATTGTATAATTTATTCATTACATATTAAAATAAACTACATTTTATGACACAAATAATTCGGAATTTAGAAATTAAACTGCAATTTCAGTTCATTTCCCAACCACTGTAAATTTTGATCAATGCCAAAAAAATAGGAAGGTTTAAACTTAAAACTTTAGCTAAGCCCACTTGTTGCAGGTGAACTGACAGCCTGACAATGTATGTAAATTAATATAGAGATACAGTTCAAGAACTGTAAAGGTATGTATAAATATTTAAACACAATTGAAGTAATCCCACAAGGACACCCGACATCTGATCATTCAGCTTTCAAATCAAGATCAATATGTATAATTTATTTCCCTATCGTACCAACAAGAAAACAACAAAACAATGCAAAACATTGTAAACGTGTCAATATTGAAAAGTAACAACAAAAGGCCATTTTACTACAATGTGTCAATATTGAAAAGTAACAACAAAGGGCCATTTTACTTCAAAGTACAGAAAAGGACTAGGGGATTAAAACATATAAATCATTCCAGAAAATTGACATATTATGAAATATGAAAACAAATGACAATAATATTGGAATGTTCAACAGCCTGTGAAATATGACCGGAACTTTCTGTTCAATGCTGTACATCTATTTTTCATGCTATGCAACAAGTATTTATTTATATATTGGCACACATTCCAGATATTATCATCCCCTAGTGTATCACCCAATCTGTTCATCGCCTTATTTCACAGACTTAATACAACATTAGAATATATTTGTGTATATAATTTGTATCAATATACAATAATTACAACTTCAAACAGATAAAAAGCTGTCATCTTATCATTATTTCACATAATATTACGTAATAAAAAATTCAATAATGTTATCTACCAATTAAAATGACCTTACATGAAAAAGAATAAATTTAAATTACCACAACTGACTGAAGAGCCAACCTTTCCATTATCAGCCACAGTTCAGTGTTACCCCTGCCCAATTCTTAATGAATTAAAATCTTTCTGTTCTTAAATTGACAGTTTTTAATATGTAAAATATAACTAAATTCAGTCGAATTTCCTGTAAATGAGTTAGCCTGGCCCTATACTGGTTACAGCGGTCTGTTTTTGAAGCAACAATGGCTCGAAGGATTAAAATAAGACATTTTTACCTGCGAAGAGTGGGTATCCCTACTTCCTGCTGCCTTATCCATCAGGTGTGGGTTGAGCGAAAATATTGCATCAGCCTCAATCTGAAATTATTACAGAATAATTACAGTATTAAGTCTAAAACATATATACATGTATCAATCTACTCATACTGGCATCAATGGCTGATAAGCCTATTAGATAATATGTGCTCTTGTACATGTCTAAGTCAGCATGTATAAAACATAACATTATGAAAGCCTCTCAGAACTTAGAACAATTGACAATTTGTGATGATTAAAATCATTCGAGACTCAATCATTTCACCATAGTTATGAAAACTAATGCAGCAGCACAGGGCTTTTTTTCCCAATTTTGCAAATATACCATATAACTTTCCCATTAAAAATTAAATTAAGGGCAGGGTTGCTTACCCAACCTGTGAAAAAAAGCCCTCAGTGTCATTCACTTTTTTTTTATCTACAATGTATGACAGATCAATAGAAAAAATTTACAAGTAAAACAGACTGAATGATTGGAAAGATGTTTTGACACAGACAAAAAACAGTAACCACAAATAATAGAGCAATAAAATCTGTTGAAGAAATACATACAGACCTACATCTATAGCTGGTAACCTTCCCAGAACAATAAATATTATCAGAGAACTTGACTACCGATAAGAAAGTATAACCAACATTTATACATGTATTGATATTCTGGCACTTGAATAATTTAGTTTTTCACACAACCTGATCGGTTTTGACCTTTTGGTAGGGTATTTTACATACACAGTCTTTGGTCTGTGGTGCAAGCAATGAAACGCTTGTTTTTCATGGCTGTGAAGATTGTTTTTTTTTAAATCAATCAATATTTATAGGTTTTTTTGTTTTGTTTTTTAATGAAGCTAAAATGAAAATTCAATGATTACTTTAGTTTGTCCTCAATTCATTTTATAATATATCATTTCAGGCAAAAAAAAAAAATCATTACAAAAGCTACTTATAAATATTTAAAATTTAGTGCAATTTTCAACCTTGAAATCGCTTTAACAAACCATGTAACACATTTCAAAATTCATATTCTTTATTTCATAAGCATATAAAGATTCAAGGTGGTTAAATTGTATTATTGTCTTTGTTTTCCAGCTACTTTTTGGCCTTGAAGTTAGGTTTAGTTTCCTTAAGCCAAAAGACAAACAATTTTCACAATTTCAGGACTTAAAATTATTTATGGTTAATTTCATGAAAGGTATAAAATTGCATATTAAATTTTTTTAATTTTTCTGTTTTCTGTTGCAGAGGGTGCTTCGTACCATGAATATAAATGAGACAAGTTAAACTGTTGCTAAATTTGTATATAATTTTAAGCAAGTTTGGTAACTTGGGCCGACTTGATCTCACATAACAATTACATGAATTTTATCAGTTTTATTTTCTTATCATTTTCCTACTTTAAGATTTAGAAAAGCCTCTTTTCTCCTTTTTACAATAAAAATCTATAAATTTTACACAAAAATGATGACTACTTTCAGTGTGGGAACAGTTTTTTATTATTACAGTTTAAGTACATTTCTTTAGTACAGAGTTACTACAAATCTACTTGGATAGTAACAGCTTAATAAGTTGGGTGATTTCACACTTAAATCATCTCGTAACGACAGTATGCATCATTTGTTTACTTTACCCATTCACCCTTAAGTAACATAATATACTTTTTTCCCTATCAAAATTCAATGAAGAATTGCTTATTCATATTTACCGAACCATGATCTTGCTCTCTTACGATTGTGATCATGCAAAAACTATTTGAAATAATTTAATAATAACAGAACATAACACTTTTAACCTCTCTTCAACTGAACATTAAAATAACTCCTAATTCTGCAATCCAAATTGGCATGCTATACCATTTTACTCTACAGGATTTTCTGCAGAATTCAAGAGCTAATTCAAGGAGTCATTCAGGTGTCTGTGACTTTTCAAAAAACACAAAAGGTACTTTGTAGAAATACTTTCCTCGGTCCCCTTTCCTTTTCTTAATGATGTAGAACTCGATTCAGACATACAACAATTCATACAACCCACCTGTGAATGTGCACCATCATTTATAAGAAACACAAGAGCGATCAGTAATCACATGTGTCGCCTCATGATGGCCAATTTCATGTTTGGACAAATTTTGTGACAGACGGACAGACAGACAGACAGTGCACAACTAGACTTTGTACTGATCATTCCTGTAAAGTTTGGATAAAATTGCACCAGTAGTTTATGAGGAGTAGTTCGGACAAGCTTTTGCGTATCTGGCAACACACAGAAAAAAACTCCTTTTTATCAAAGGGCCATAACTCGGCCAAAAATCATTCAACCGGAAAACCCGTGCAATATGCGCAAGGACTTGAGCTACAGATCAATCCTGTAAAGTTTCATTGAAATTGCATAAGTGGTATAAGAGAAGTAGTCTGGACAAACTTTAAAAATAAAAATTATTAAAGGGCCATAACTCAAACAAAAATCATTGAACCGGAAAATGCTGACAATATGCACAACTAGACTTGGTACTGATCATTCCTGTAAAGTTTGGATGAAATTGCACCAGTAGTTTATGAGGAGTAGTCCGGACAAGCTTTTGTGTATCTGGCAACACACAGAAAAAGAAACCTTTTTATCAAAGGGCCATAACTCGGCCAAAAATCATTCAACCGGAAAACCCGTGCAATATGCGCAAGGACTTGAGCTACAGATCAATCCTGTAAAGTTTCATTGAAATTGCATTAGTGGTATAAGAGAAGTAGTCCGGACAAACTTTAAAATTAAAAATTATTAAAGGGCCATAACTCTGACAAAAATCATTGAACCGGAAAATCCTGACAATATGCACAACTAGACTTGGTACTGATCATTCCTGTAAAGTTTGGATGAAATTGCACCAGTAGTTTATGAGGAGTAGTCCGGACAAGTTTTGTGACGGACGGACGGACAGACGGACAGACAGACGGACAACTGAGAAGTGATCCCTATATGTCGCCACTACTCCGTAGAGGCGACACAAAAAACCACAAACATTGAAACATATAGTAGTATTATGAAGCGAAACTTTCAGTTTTCACTTTTACATATCGAGGGTTGACTGGAAGACTGTTGTTAGTCCTTCTTTATTTCATATGAGTTGCTGCAGTTTTGCTGTTAACCTTTGAGATCACCTTTGTAACAATCTAACAACTAAATATATAACAGTAGATTAAATAACAAACCTAGTTGCAACTATAACTTAATATTGTAAACAAGCACTCGTAGTAGTAGCGATTTTCAAAAAAAAAGATTTCTTTTTCCATTTGTAGCGATATTTATCTGAAAACAGCTAGATCTGATCCCATTACCTCATATCAAATGCAAGAGAAAGAGTGAGCTATTCAAGCAAAGAGTACAGATAAAATCTTTAGCCATTTTAATATCATTACTAAACAAAGCATCCATTGCTTCTCAACTCTTACACACTGGGTGGATTAAACGTTGATCCCATCACTTAGCCAACAATATGACCTCTTTAAAGAGAACAGGTGCTCTAAAATGCTGTGATGTTCACCAAAACTGTCAAATATCTTGTTTATGCCCCCCTTTCTCTCCTTTACTATCATAAACCACTATATGTATTTCTTTATGTAGATTTATTATATATTCGGTTAATTAACTTTATCATCACATCAAAGGGAAACAAAAAAGACATAATTTTATATTAATTGCTAATTTCCTGAGCCTTTAACAAATTATCCACTTGTTAAAAAAATGAATCCCTTTATAATAAATAATGTTGATGCATAAATTACAAATCTGTATGGATCAAAAAGAAGTTCTCCTCTTCCCAAAAATAATGCTTGAAAATTCAAGATGGGCATTAAAATGTTACTACCTTACCCTGTTGTAATTGACTGGTCTCCTTTGAATTTGGAACAATCCACTGTTAGATTAAGGGATTCTAATATTTACATTTAAATTGAAACTTACATTCAGACTTACATGTAGGTCATTCACTATAGACAACAAAAAGGCACAAAATTTCACAACTTATGTTTTGCTTGTATATGAACTTATTACAAAACTATAAACAGACTGTCATAATACTGGGGAAATATAATTTGTTGCAATAAATATTATCATGACTCATTCATTTAAGAAAAAAAAATACATTCTCAACAATAATATAGATTTAAACATTGGAGCACTTTATTTGGGTTGGGGAAAAAAGAAGCTTTTTGGTGATAGCACCATATACAGTACACTAAAATGGCTTTAATAGGTAGTGTTGCATCTACTGAAATAATACAATGTACAGAGGAATTCCAGCATACATGTATCACTAAAAACATTTATGCATTACAATGTAATCTTTTTCAATTCTTTGCAAGTACGACCCTTCTCAAGAAACAAATTCTAAGTTTTAACTTTCTTTACTACACATTAAATGAATAATTCACAAACTTTGCATACGAAAGACATGGTGCAGTAGTAATGCTTAAAGCTATTCGAAATAATTACGCACTGATGACTCAAACATGAATTTATCAGGCTCTACGTGTGAAACGCACCAAATCCCTTCAAACATTTCAAAATCTGTACATTAAAATTTCACTATTGTGTAGGCTAACTTGCTAAGCCATCAATATTACACTGAAGTATTACAGAAATAATACAGCTGATAACACTTTACAGGGGGAATTGTTTCCCCCTCTACTACAGACTGCTGCAAGCCAGAACACTGGCCACTTGAATAGAAATTTAAATGCCCTGGTGTGTAAATATTTGTATCACAACTTATTGAAATCTTATACCTGTCCCTGCCATTTAATAGGACACTTGGTTTACAAATAGATTAGTTCAGAAAAAATCTTTTGTAAACAATGTTACCTTTTAGTATATAACAACTCGGCTATAAAAAGTATCTCATTTTTCAATGGGAAAGGTTTACATTTCATTAGCTGTCACTACTTATCATATTACATATCTCCTAAAGTCCTGCAGGTTGTTGCTGGCCATGTTTTTAACCATCAATATTTTAATGATGATAAAACATTTCATTAAAATCCAAATAATAACTTATTATTATGAAGGAAAAAAAGTTCCTGCTGGGATAAGAACACACAGTTGTTGGGGTCAATTGATCTAAGCCATCGCTGAATCTGAGGACTTTTCATCCGTAATATGAATAAATATTAGCTATAAAATAGTAGGCAAAAAAATGATATTCTATAAATTCAGTAGTTTTTATACTTTTTGACTTCACACAATTTTTTGTTTTAAAGGGATACTCAGGCAAAATAATGGCAAAAATATAAAAATGATTTTCTGTACTCAAATCACCCTAAAATGACATTTCTTAAAGTCCCAACATGAATTTCTGTATAAATTCTATATATTTTGGGTTTGAAGTTTAAATATATCTATATATGTTGAACGAAATTTTGACGCGAACAGAATCACCGAATAGTTTAAAAACAAGTCATGCGATTTGAACAAACCCTGGAAGTTACAATAACAAATATTGTGGACATTGTATGATTGAAACAAGTCTAAGTAATTGATTTGACATGTTTTTTAACGTTTCCAGAGTACAGAGTGACAACTATTGTGAAATTTTAGCGCTCTAACCTGACCCATGCGAGTCAAGTTAGGAAAAAACCATTTTATTCTTTATATGGAGAAAAGTTTTGTTCCTTTGACTGTTTAGTGTATTCATTTTGAGGACATTTACAGAATAATGAATGAAAATTTCAAAACTAAGAAATGAAAATTTTGCCTGTGTCTCCCTTTAAGCTGGTCTACCTATCACTTAATTTGTAAACTAGTCTTATTAGTTCATTTTTGCCAAAGAACAAAGCATAAATGAATTTTGTTCATCCTTGAAAAAACAGACATATTCTTGATATTTATAAATCATGTCATTTGTTTGAAAATTACTATACATATTTTTTAGGATAATAGAACATTATGCAGGACATATTATACTGCACCTGTATACTTAAATAACAATTGAATTGATTATAATAAATAAATTTATATTTATTTATTGGAAAAAAACAAAACAACAACACTCGAACTTTCAAGCTGCATATCCCAAGAGGCATATTGATTTTTAATGGAAATTTCAAGTGTTCAAAATATTTAAATTATTGTCAAGTGAACAAATAAAGTTATTTGAACTAGTCAATGGCAAATATAATCTCACTGTCCTGAAATATACATTATCTTACATATCATTAAATGAATAATTCACAAACTTTGCAATTGATAAATTAAAAAATACAATATTTTTTTTGTTCACAACATTCCATTAGGAAAATGCTGTTAATGGAGGTCTGAAAGGGAATATATGAAAGTGAAGGTGATATATATAATAATTTCAGCTGTATCTTACCAAAACAATACAAAAATACACAACCCTTATCCTGCTAGAACTGAGTCATTAGCCTTTGCTACCAGAAGAGACAGGCTAGTCTGGAATTAGTACAGTCTTACTAGACTCCATACTGCTGAATGACCAACTTCAACATTTCATATTGATTTCCCAAAAAATTATAACAATCAGTTACAAAATGGAAATTGGACTGGTCCTTTTCAGAAATTAAACAGATACAGGTTAATATACAAAAAAAATTCCATTCATAATTTCTTACAGTTTTGTAAGTCTTAAGGTTATTTCTTTTTAATTTGAGGTTAGCAGATTTTAGCTAACCGTATATTTTGTGTAAAAGGTGCATGCAAAAATCTATTTTAGTTTAACAAACATAATTGTATTGATTACTGAACAAGAGACTATTTACATATCTTTACTGGGATAAATAAGATAAAGATGTTCTTCAGAGTATCATCAGATTTTTTAAAAACTTCTTTATATAGAAATATTTATATCATTATATCATATTATATTTAGTTTGGCAATTTATTGCTTAATTAACATCCAACAAGTAATATGGTCTTGGTATAAATGTCTGAAATTGACCTTTTCATCATTTGATATGAAATAAATCAAGCTTTAAACTTTATATGTCTGAAAGTAAACATGTGTACATTTTGTTTGGTGTCCTAGATATACCCTTTCCTTAATTCAACACCATTTTTTATTATATCTCTAAGTTTTAAGTGAGACTGAGAAAATATGACTGATTTTTTAATTAAAAGCATTATATCTCAACAATTTTTTTCCTCATAAGGGATTTGAAGTACAGAATAAATAAAGTGCATAAAACTTACATTGTGGTCACCAAAGGGTGTATCTGCTTCAAGTTCAACCCTTAATACTCACATATTATATCATAAATCAACCTGTCCAGCTTTCTGGACAAGACTTTTTATGATTTTGTGTGATTATTTCTGACACAACATTTACGGACTGAAAAGCAAACAGTGCAGACCATGATCAGATGGCCTGGATATGCAGCCTGTTCTAGATTTGCACTGGTTGCATGGTAGATTCCGTAGCCACCAGCATTCTATGTGTTCAGAGCTGAGGGTTTAATATTTATATAAATATTTTGTGACCAACAGGCTTCGCGAAAGTTGCCGGACCGTCGGACATGTCCGACAAAAATCAGGCCGGTCCGATATTTTTTTCCGAGTTCCGGACCTTATGTACGGTACGAATACCGAATATATCCAAGACCGATCAAGACCGAGTTTTCTCCCTTGAATAAAAAAGATGTAAAATGAGTTTTGATTTGCCGTTTCATTTTTAGTGTCCAATCAAATTCTAGATACATACAACTTTCGATGATCTTGTACTCGGAAGAAAATATCGGTGTTACTGCATTATTAAATTATTACGTTGGCGCTACGCCAGGCAAAAAACTTAAATTATCTAATGAAGGAAAAAAGCGAAACAAAAGAAATACGAGTCCAGGCGCCTGCCGAGAAAATTTGTGGGTAAATGGAAAAATGGCCGCTCGTGGTTGGTTTTTAACAAGGAAGAAAATAAGATGAAATGTACATTGTGTCATAAATTTTATAAAGATCATATGATGATGATGATTTTGATCATGAATGTTTAAATTTCCAGACAGAGTCCATCAATCTGGATAAACTGATGTTTTATTTAAGAGAATAAAATTGTGTTGCAAATCTTTAAAAGTTCCTATGTCTTTAAAAAACACAAAGGTATTACCATATACATATATTTGGAAAACAAATTCTGTCAGACAAAAGTTCTTTCGGTCAGACAAGAATTGAAGCTGGTCTGACCGAATGTCAGGCAAATGTTTCAGCAGTTTCGCGAAGCCTGGACCAGATCAATGAAATCATATACACACTGTAATCACTGAACTTCCTAATTGAGTTTTTCTTTTGAAATCATGCGGTCTTCTATAAAAAATCTGAACTTGACCAGCTTTTTTTCTTCTCAAATTGAAAATTTAAGCAATATTTTTTTCAAAAACCAAAAGTGAAAAAAATCACTGGGACAGTTGATTTGACATATTATTTTCTCTTAACAAATAAAACCAATCCGCTTTGGAAGCATTCCTAACTATTGTTTTTTGTAAAAACTATACTTCTGAATAAATTTAATATTTATCTGTTTGCAAAAGAAAATTTTAATCTAGAACAAAAAGATTCTCATTAAATTTCTTTAAACCTTTAGCTAAACACATGAAACCAATATGTCAAGTTCTTTCACTCATTGTTGGGTTAAAAATAAACAATTTTACCACCATGTCTTGTGAATGAAACATTATCCCAAAAGTAACAAGAGCCATGTCAACATGGCCATCCCCCGCCGAATGTGTTTGCTCATTCGAAGAATGTATATGTAGTAGAGCAGAATAATTCCATTTTAAGAGGTCTTTTGGTAATGAAAACTGATGGCTATAGTGATTACAGATTTGAAACCTATGTGAATACTGATGGCTGAAAATAACAAAGGGCAATAACTGAAAAATAATGCAGGGTAGGTTATCATTCTTGTGTGCTGCATCCCTCCTCAGTAAAATCTATCCACCTATGAAGTTTCAAGTTGATACCTCAAATACTTTTTGAGAAAAAAATTGAATTGAAAAATTAAGTATGAAAAATAACAAAGGGCAATAACTCAAAAATTAAAAAAGGTAAAGTTATCATTATTGTGCACTGCACACCTCCTGAGTGAGATCTATGCACCTATGAAGTTTCATTTTGATATCTTAAAGGCTTTTTGAGTTATGCTCTGGACAAAAATTAATTTTGAAAAATAACAAAGGGCAATAACTCAAAAATTATGCAGGGTAGAGTTATCATTCTTGCGCCTTTTCGGCGGGGGATAATTAGCCTTTGTCACTTGACTCACTAGCAGTAGAGAGCCTAAACACAGTACATACAGTCAGACAAGGCTCAGACAGCTCTTGTGCTGAGTTACTTTTACCTTTGTATCTTAATATCTCTGATAACTGACAGTTCCAAACAACTGAAGAAATCAAGTCTAGGAGGTTAAAGGTTATCAAATCTAGGCAAAAGACTTACATCATGCAATATAGCACTCAAACATATCTCCACTTTAAAACATACAATAATCTAAATATTTAATTTTTTTATATATATTAATATACCTCTTTGCCCTTGGTCTCTCCTCGCTCAAACCACTCAACCGTGACACTCTTTGCTTCATTATTTGTTCCACTGATAACAGCCGAGTGGATCCGACCTGTACAATAAAAACAAACAATGACATCATAGCAATTATACACCATGTTTGCAAAAGGCAACTTATTTCAAAGATGGCTTAACTTCTGAATCTGATTACTTTTGAAACTTGTTTTCATATTAAACTTTAAGTTTAATTAGAAAACTACAGATTACTCAATGCCCCTGTTCAATTCACACTAAATCATGAAATTTATGCATCAGTTTCCCTTTAAGTGAGAGTCAAGTAATGTAATCAAAAATGCATGGTGTACATTATGTCATATATATTCAATTAAGGATTGAACCTATGAGGTGTCAATGCTTTGGTAGACAAAACGATCAAATCAAATTAAAACATTATTTCCCAACTTTAACACAAATTGAAGAAAGCAAAATTTAATAATTTCTAACAAATTGATATCAAAAAACTAAAGAAACTTCATATCAAAAGTAAAACATGAAAATTTAAAGTTCAAACATATAATGAAGTGCTTTATTCCTAAAAGGTAGCAAATTTTTATGTTTTCTTTTCTTATTTTTAGAACACCAGTCAATCCTTATCAACTTTCCCTCGACAACAGGAAATAGTAATTCTCTACTATCCCTGTACAAGGGACCTTTAAACTCGTTAACATTTCATTAAGAAGCATGGCATAATTTGCCAAAAGGAAGTGGCTAGCCGTACGGGCCCGTACGGCTAGCCAAAATTTCTAGCCATACCGCTAGCCACTTCCTTGCCAAAAAATGTTCATGGAGAGCTAACATCATTTCATACCATTACTAATATAAAATATTGACCAGCAATATGGTGAGAGAATAAGAAAATCAGTTAACATAACACCTGAGACGTCAAAAAATGCTAAATATATATACAACAGGGCTCGCGCTGGCAGGAGCCAATGAGCAAATTGGCTCCAAAATTATTAAATTGGCTCAAGAAAATCATGATTGGCTCCAACTTACGAAAAGTATAACTTTTGGAATATCCAGTCTAAATTTAGCATTTGCTATTTTAAGAATGGAAAAGTACACATTTGGTTTTTCATTTACAACTTCCGCTTTACCGCTTCTTATCACAAAACTATGCGACACAGTCTCCTTTTTTTGGGGTCATTGACTGGTCTATATTTGTTACTTCCCTTCCAAATAAAATATCGTTATAAACAGTAACACAGTCTAATACACTGACCTTATGGTATGTTTACATGTTTATCAGCTGATAAATATGACACTAATTGGTGTGAATTGTTGAATGTGCACTGGATAATTGGTGTTTATATTCAATATGAAACAATAACCCACGGCATCTTAAGATTATCGCCAATCATATCAACAGCTTGGTTATGAAATGGACGACTTTACGGTAAGTTTGCATTCATGTGTAATTTTATTGTTGTTGATAAAAAGATCAAAGGAATTATGAGTTATAGAATAGAATTTGTTTTTTTTAAATTGCAAATTAAATCTGACCTAATAATGGCTCCAAAAAAGCATAAATTTGACAAGGAGTATATGTGACAATTAGTATTCCTGAAAAAAAAATTGACCTTACTTTGTACATATATCCTCTATCTGGAGCATTCATTTACAAATGGCATACATGGCTGTGAAATGTTTATGGAAAATTCAAGAAGCATACAATATATTTTTAGGAAATTTATGCTAATTACTTTACTCTTATAATGAATAGTTGGCATTTTTTTCCTGAATTATGTTTAGTTTAGAACTTTTCAATATTCTTTTCTTCATTAATAATTATTCTTTTTACTCTCAAATGTTTCTGTTTTTATAATTTCAGATACAGATAATATAAGTCCTCAAACCAAATCTTTGGCATTAACGCAGCCTATTGGATTGTGGTTCTGATGTCACTGTCATGCCACTAACTTAGATTTTATGAAAACATTGCTGACCAAATTAGCCTGGAAAATGTTATTCTTATAGCTACTGAGCTGCAAGCTTTTATGATCAGTTTTAAAGTGATTAAAATGTAGCTACCAAAATAAAGTTGGATATACATGTAGTTTATGTTGTTTTTTTCTAAATATTTCATGCCTTTTTAAGGTCTTTCATATATGAACTAATGCTATAAATAAGTCTGACAATTGAATTCTGGTTATTTTGCAGAACCATTGACTTCTTGAAAATAAAATACAGGCACGCAATTTTCGCCGCGAAAAATTGGCTCTAAGAAAAAATCTGCCAGTGCTAGCCCTGATACAATGTATTTTTAAACTTTAAACCATACCCCACCCACTTTCTGCAATTAATGAGTCACCTAAGAAAATTTTGACATCTACAGATATCGGTTTACTTCAGCGTAAAATCAAAATGGGATGTAGAAGAAAATTTGATTTCTGCAAGCAATGAAATGTGAGAATAAAAGGACATGCCAAATTAACGGTGAAAATATAAAAAATTATCCGCATTATTTATGTTGGCAACAAAATGGCAGTCAAAATCGACGAACGGGACAATGTTTACGCACCATCTGTACGTTGAATGTCAACGTTAACACCAATTTTTAAATGGCTCACATCCATTTCGAGATTTTCAATCACTTATTTTATAACACATAAAATCATATCATTTAGTGATCCTATAAATACACAATTTCGTTTTCTTCTCTAATCAGCGCGCATTCCGTTAAGAATTTGAAAACTACAAGTGCGCATGAGCGGAAGAGACATAGTTGTGCTTACCTATACAGTATTTGGTGCTTCTACTGAATGAAACTTTTCTGTATTATTAACTATCATACAATTTGAATGTCAATTACATAGAAACACGTACCTGTCATTCTTATGCATAAAATTATTTGTTTACATTAATTCTATGTACATTATATTTTTTATCTTTTTCATAGTGCCCCATTCGATCTCTATGTATTTATGTTTTAGGCTTTTGGACTTCACTGGAGCCCATTTAAAACGCGAGGGTAACCCATGCTAAATGCGAAGAAATAGTTTTAGATTCTGGGAATGGCAGTTTGATTTAATAATGCAAGTGACAGAATAATTTAAGCATGTTTTAACCAGTTCAGACCATGGTTACCACTTGAAACATTTTAATATATTGTATTCAAATAACTAAACCAGGTACGTTAATATACGTACCTGACTAAACTGACCATATACATATACATGTATGAAAGATAAACTGACCATATAAATGTATGAAAGAAAGCTGCTGATGCCACAGACACTTGGGGTTTGGAGCTCAAAACGCCTTAAAAATCCAAATAAAATGCATATTTGTCAATTCCAGCACATGCACTGATCATATAGGCCTATATAAAAAAAACTTAATATAAGCCGTTTTGAAAAAAAATCATATTTCAACATCTATAATAATATATAGAGGATATTCAAGTTTTTTCTATAAATACATGATTTATTTTCATCGAGTGGTATGAAAATAAATATTTCATGAGTGGCGGTAGCCACAAGTGAAATATGGTAATTTTCATGCCACAAGATGAAAATAAATCATGTATTTATAGAAAAAACTTGAATTTTCTGTTTATTATATACATTTTTCTCTTTTTTGCGATAAAATTTGAAAGACTTTCCCTTAAATTTTGTGTACTGGCAGAATTTAAAAGAAAGTAGTCCGGCAAGACACCAGTGAAAATACGGAAAATATGTTTCACTGCAGTGAAAAATAAATTTTTACAGTGAAAATACGGAAAATGAAAATACGCATTTTATTTCATCAATATTTCTCAATATTTCATTTATAAGTATATAATAAATAGAGGATATTCAAGTTTTTTCTATAAATACATGATTTATTTTCATCGAGTGGTATGAAAATAAATATTTCATGAGTGGCGGTAGCCACGAGTGAAATATGGTAATTTTCATGCCACAAGATGAAAATAAATCATGTATTTATAGAAAAAACTTGAATTTTCTGTTTATTATATACATTTTCTCTTTTTTGCAATAAAATTTGAAAGACTTTCCCTTAAATTTTGTGTACTGGCAGAATTTAAAAGAAAGTAGTCCGGCAAAACACCAGTGAAAATACGGAAAATATGTTTCACTGCAGTGAAAAATAAATTTTTACAGTGAAAATACGGAAAATGAAAATACGCAATTTATTTCATCAATATTTCTCAATATTTCATTTATAAATATATAATAAAATAATGTATTATTATAGATGTTGAAATATGAATTTTTTTATGTATTTACCTTAAATACTACAATCAAGAACGTTTTGCATGTGTGGTAGTCTATGTTTAATGAAGGTGAATCCGCCCGTTAAGGCACAACAATTAGCAACTGACCTCGGACATGCCACAAGTCATGTCACCAGTCATGCCCATATTGAAAGGGTTAACTTAATTTCCACGGAGAATTAGCCAAAGATATAAATTTTGAACCGAAAGTAGGGCACTATACAGTGGTCTATGGTCACCTAAACATGCAGTTGCCTGAGACAATATAAAAAGGAGGAATTCGTCATAAGGTCTGTTGGTGCCAAACAAAGTTGTCACTTCGTGCTGGAAGCTCACGCACCAATGACCTTAACATCATGTTTCCTCGTCGTCCCTGACTACTCTGTAAGGTCGCTTCCTTTGGCTTCATTAATGACATCCCGAATATTAAAGCATTATTATCTATTAATGACTTTTTTCTCTATTATTAAGTAACAGCAAAATACAATAAATCCCGATTTAAATATATATATTTAAAATACGGTACAATTTAACAAATAAAAAGCATTTCATAAATTCTGTAAAGATAGATTACATCACGAATTATATATATTAAGATCCGTGGTTAGATCGATATATAAAACAAAGAGTGTCATTATTAAAAATGTTTGTGTTGCAATACTATGTACATGTAAGTAAAACAGAGGCATGGTATATATATAAATTAAAAATTTAGAAAAATGTCAATCTTGACATGGAATTGCATGAAATCAGTATAAATCTAATATACCTATTGATTTTAAGTTTCAGATAGGTTCCTATGATGGTTTCAAAAAAATTCGTAAAAAAGATTGACCGGAATTAAATCCAATGGTATTCATATTATTGTCAAGTTCACTGGTGAACCAGAATATGACAACATGTCAAGCTTGACTTTGTTTTCTGTGAAACATTTTTTTGTCATACAGAATAATTAAAGTTGTTAAGCATTTATAGCCAGTCCATCTTATAGTTTACAAGTGATCTATATGAATTTAAGACGACTCAGTAGCGAACACAACAACAGCAGCAGCAACAACCAAGCATCGAACGGGCGGGCGATTTTCGCTAAATCACGTTTCTTTTACATTTTTTAGATTGCATCACCAGACGGCGTTCTCATTCACGCTGTCACTTTTACCACAAAATACAGGTATTTTGTGAACACGAGATCAAATCTAGGTATAACTATAATTCTTCCTTTAGAAATATTTTGCATTTTCCATATTTTCAATACTCTTTATCCAATATGTAACTTGCAATGAACAAGCGATGAGGGTCGTTGTTTTCTAATGACCTTGATCGAAAAGCTTTGCGTATGATAATAATACTACTAATAATAATTCATGAAACTAGCGAGTTTTCTGTGGAAAGTCAGTAGTTTCACACTTATTCTTCAATGCATCGAAAAGATTGTTTTCTGTTATAAGACTAAACTAGCATTAATGATATTACGTGTTACTGATTCGGATATTGCAAGTATTGTAATGCAAATATCAGACATCAAGGTGAAGTCATAGATAGAACTTTAATGTTAGGCTTGTCTCAAACGACAAGAGTGACATAAATTAAAGTTAACACTGTTTTTTTTTATTCATTACACATTTGGATTTCTCTCGAACTTGGTATCATATAATAAGACAATTCTCAACTTTGGTCCTGAATATATATTACTTTAAAGGTAACAAAACCAGTAGGTCTTATATTAAATATCTCGAGTTCAGATTGTAATACGGTACATAACTGTACATGATTATACTACTCAACTTTTTGCTAAGACTAAATGTGTCTCTCTATATATTATGAAAAGTATAAACATGTTTCAATTATTTATTTTGTATAGTTTGATTCAGCAATGTTTAGAGGTGCCCCAAAACTAAATACATTTGTACAAGATGTTTTATCGTGTAGATCTCTCCCACATGGTCACAGAAAGCATGCCCCAACATGTACCTCTTGAACAAGACAATGTAAATAAAATGAATTCCCGCCAAGCAAAATTCTTACAATTCATTAATGGTATTGTTACTAAAGGGGAAAGAAGTAAAATACAGAAATGATCGTATAGATACACATAAAAAGCAAACCAAATGTTCATAAAGTAAACAAAAGTACTCAATGTTTTGAAGGAAGACAATGCAGCAAAATATCAACTTAAAAGGTCCGACGACGAAAATTAAGACAATTTAATCCATAAAGAACGCTAAAAAAATAAATTGAAAATGTTGCAGGCTCGGTTTGGCTGAACCTATTTGTAACTACAATGTACTGTCACCACAAACACCGACGAAAGCGGAATTGAACATTTGAATATGATCAATTTTGAACTGATGTGCTCATTCTGCCGTTTTCATGGGTTCGATTTTCATGGATCCTTCTATGTAACACAATTAAGTCACACATGTCATTCCACGAAAAGCGGCATGTGGTCCCCAAGTAAAAGAACAGATATACACTAAATGAGATGAAGCCTGTTTATCATAGACAGGACCTGAAAAGACATATTAAAATAAAGCAGTTAACATATCCTAAAGATGATTATACAGTATTCAAGCTGGAGCACTATACTCGAAGACTATTTCACGAGCGCCGGCAAAAGTTTGGCACCGTCGACGAAAAACTTATCTCGTTTTACATTGTTTTCCAGGTTAAAAATTAAAGCCGTGCGCATCTAGGCATAAGAAAATAAAATGGTTTTAGAAATGTTTGAGTATACACGTGACGCTTTGTTCTATTGAAACTATGAGATGAGTTGCCTTGTTTATCACCACCTTCTTTACTCCGATATTAAAAGTGTAACGATTTTTTTCATAATTTTCAAAGTTTGTGATAATCATTCTATAAGCATATTAATCATTTTTTTTTGCAAACAGAATAACATTTAAACTTTCACGAAATAACTGGAATCTAAAATAACGAGAGATAATCCAAAAGAATGCACCTTATTGAATCTATTATAAATAATGGCCATTTTAACTTCTGTCCTTCAAAATACTTGCCATCTGTCACTATCTACAGCACAGGTCGTACTCTGCTATTGAGACACTCATTTTTAGTTAAATTGCAGACCGAATAGCATTTTTTCGTTTTTGGTGGCCGAAACTGGATTAGGAAAAATGTGGAAAAGGGGAGGCAAAAAAAGACACGGTCAGAGTCTTTTCATGTGAGATAATTAAACATGCAACATCTCTCATATCCCTAGCACCGTATGAAGCGGTACTAAATGATCCCGAAGGACCAGAAAAATGTAACAACACTGTAGTGAAGTATGTGGCCATTTTTACACCTGCAATGCGTCACTTGACACCTACTGTGTCGAAGAAGAGGAACTCTTTTTGAAGCAATGAGAAGAACAAAATGAAAATTTCAGACTGGACTTGATCGAGTCTGTTCATGAGAGATAATGTAGTTATACACATGTATCAACATATCTCACGCCCCCTTACAAATGCTGGCGGCTTATGCGGTATTCAATATTCTACTCTAAATGTACTGGAATAATTTATTCCGGAGGCCCAGCAAAGAATAACAATACTGACGTGAAACACGAACCCTTACATTCGGGTTCAAAGAAGTAAAAACAATTCTAATTAAAATTAACCGTATTTTCAAACGCTTGCATGTTATATCTTTTGTATATTTTTAGGCTTTTCTGATCGGATTCTCTTTTGGCTGAAATCCGGAAAAAGATGTGGTATCCGGCTGGCATTTATCTTCTATAGGTAAAGATGCCTTTTATTTCAAAATAGAGAACTCGTGTAACTACAAGTTTATCATAATTTAAGGTCCAACTGTCTCACCATGTTCCCAAATGTTGAGATTTTTGTCGTAGTTCTTGCAGGATGACCTAGATATATCCATGCAGCATCTTTAAGCTGCTGTTTTCTGTTTTAGAATTAAGCTTCGCATATGTATAGTACATTTGACTATACCCTGACTATACCCATAAATTTCGCACTCTTCCCGATGAATATCTATTGAAAGTTTTTTTTACCGATCAGCAACTTACCTTGCAAACAGACCCCTTTTCAATCGCATTTTCTTTTTTTTTTTGCTAGTCATTTTTCATTTTGTGTATAGCGTTCTGAACATACTGCAAAACAACAAATGTGCTCTGAAAATGTCAGCGAGATACAGTACTTTCAATTATTATACCTCACGTAAACTTATTAATACACAGCCTAATGTGACAAAGTACACTGTGTTATTTCGATCTATCATCTTGGAAATGAGTATCACCCGGTCAACAGTTCTTTTTGCAAAGTTTCACAGGGGCAAGTAATCTACATATACTTAAGAAAACGTAATGCTATAGTTCTCTCCACTGAGAACAAAACATGTCTTTTAGGGTAAAAGTGTATATTAGCAACACGAAAACAGAAATAACACCCGTCATGTGTTCATTCTATTAAGTCAGCAAAATTTCTGTATATTCTTTGTATATTCTGTATATTTTTCAAGATTTAAAGAACCCATGACTTTATTTTAGGACCAGTTCTCGTATCTTTCGACAAAGCTGCACTTTTCCAAAGGCGGTAAATAATGCAAAAGTATATGATAAAACAGTGGTCTACCCTGAAAGTTCACACAGATTATCAGATGCTTATCAAAATATACCTCTATTTCAGATTAATTGGAAACCTAAGCTTTGAAAACAACCCGCAGTTATCATTTACCACTCATACATATATTACCAGGCGTGCTTATTTCTAAAGAATATTTAAACATACATTTGTATATTGGACTCTAATACCATAATACCGTTCCATAGATTATATCTATCATAAGTAAAGTTAAGTAAAAACATCCAGTCTCAAGTCCAGTACTACCAGATGTCTGGCTACATCCTTGATCAACATTTAATAAACTGATTTTAAATCAACAATGATAGTCTAAAATACACGTAATAATGCGATAAAATATGACAAACATCATCCAGATGAATTTATAAGAATTACTAAATCTAACATTTAACTTGACTAGTTGTCATACAACACATTGTTCACATAACTTAACTTCCCTTTTCCATACATGAAGTTCTTACCAAAACGATTGTAAATATTACGTTGTTTTATATAGAAACATCCGCAAAACTCCTCCTCTTTATTATTTTCCACCAGTTAGTAACATATATTTGTTTAATTTGTTATTGAATCTTTCTTTATTTTCGCTCTGTATAGGGTTTAATTAAAATTATAATAAGCAATGTATTATATATGAACATATTGCTATTGTTTAAGGAAGGGACTACCATGAGCTATTGTAGCTCTCGGTCCAATTCCTTTCTGCTTAAAATTGTAAATTATTAACATGTGTATATGTAACTGAATGAAAAATATGTTCAAACCAAATATCTGAAGTTCAGTTTAAAATAGCACACTTTGATTGACAACGTCTGGCACTGTACTGTTTATTCTTAAAGAATATTTTATCATATATTTGCAGTTAATATATATAAGTAGAGAATTCCAATTTCTATTGTATATATAGAAAACAATTGCAATAATATATAGAGTAGATCACACAATGTCAAGTTACAAAACCACCATCAAAATTAATATTGAATTATGAAAATTTAAACTTTTTTGTTTGTTGTTTTTTATTGTATGACAATTTTTTGTTTCAGAAATCAATATATTGTGAAGCTTTAATCTGGGACTTCCCATGTTTTGTGTCTTGTTGGTTAATTGCCTATATTATGTGGTCCTTATACATTGACGCAAACGTTGGAATACAATTGATTATATTTACATAAAAGGTGTAAAAAACACAAAAAGTTAGTTTTGTTATCCAGATGATTTAAAAAAAGAGAGGAAAAATCAAAAGAGTTACGCGGTAATTGGGACGCTCATTCAATAATAGTTTAAGCGTTTAAGAAGTTTAACCCACGATTTAAGCTGTCTAACACACACGATAAATAAACATGATTTAAATAGAACACTTTGCCGATGACCTAAAAATTTTAACGGAAAGGACCGAAAAGTTACGATTGAGTCAGATCCTCTCACAATTCACTACCAACATGGCGACAACTTTTAAAATTGGATAAGGAAAACATTATACACTTAAACATAGAGCTGTAAAAGTTGAAATAAATCACTTGATATTTTAAAAGATTTGAATAATTGGATTATTCAGTTGTGGTACGTAAATATATTTGAGTTATCTCGTTTTCTTATAGAATTGTTATGCTACAGGAAAACAAAAACGAAAGTTGAAATCTTTAAACTGTGATTAGATGTTTAAAAGGGTCAGATTATTAAGGTATCTTACATAAAATTTATCTCTTCAAACAATAGGTCCCTTTATTATTGTGAAAATATAAGATTTTAATGCGTCCAAACATTTACAAAATCCAAAGTTCAAACAAGTCATCGGTAAGATCGCAAAGACATAGTGAAGTAAATGATTTAGAAATTGAACTCGTCGAATGATGAGCATTTGATATGGCTTTAAAGATTGGCTTTAGATTTGAACAAACGCTTAATCCATCAGTTGAACAATGCATTTTATTTCACGTAAACTTATGGAATATATGGGCAAACAACAGTTATTGACTGCGTCTGGATCCATGTTGGTCGCGGACGCACTGTGTTGGTTTTGTCGTGACGTAGCTCATATAATATTGCATGCCTGGGATAGTGTTGAATAATATTTTACCAGTAATTAGCTCAAAAACATATTCAATTATACAATTAATTTAATAAAAATATTTAAAGTGAAACAATGCACCAGGATGGCTAACAGGCAGAGATAATAGTCATTTTGGTGTTAAGGCTGACACGGGATCATGAGTTTTGTACATTTAGTGTGTTCATTTACTAGCTTGTTGTTTTCCTATATTATTGCATGATATTGTGTCAGTCTAGTTTATCACTTGGAATAAGTATATGTAACTTACTCTCTAGATGAAAACATTTACAACCCAAAATAACATGCTTTTTGTAATTTAAAGTTTACTTTTAATTTTGTAAGAAGAAGCTAACAGATAATATGAGGTTGGACACTTTAAGGCCATTAAGTATGCCTACAGACCTATTCATATGAAACACTACAGGTCCCATATGAGCCAACTTAACAAAACGTTGGACAAGCCAAGGCCATTAAACCAAACATTTCAGTCCTTTCACATCGCAACCCCATATGAGATATATTCCTAAAGAATATGAAAGATACCTGGCCACCAACTCAACAAATATAGTCATATGAGCCAACTTCATATTGTCTGCGAAGAATGATATAGAATGGAGTCAAGACCCCCTTTTACTAAAGCTATCCTCAATAAAAAGGCAAAAAAGTAAACAACGATCTGTTCTATATCATTTGCTGAATCTTACTAAGTGTTTTTATGTATTTAATATTTCACCAGTCTTCGGATATTCTCATTATTATTATTATACAAAATTTAATGGCGATTCCACTCAAATTCGCTTGTTAAAACCTGGAAAGAATGTTCGTGCATGTCGGTCGTGCATACAGAAAATATGTGTCAGGTATCAGTCCGAGTTGCATAATCTTATCGATCAATCAAGCTCATTTTTTATATTTTTCTCCATGATGCATATAATGGTCTCATTGGCCTCCCGTGCATCAAAATTGTATCATCACAAAAATCGACTTGCATACATATTTAGTATCATTCAGTGAATTACTGAATTCAAAATTTATAGGTCACCGTACGGTTGATAGTAACATTTAAGGACATGAATGGTGACATGTCCGGGGTCCGTACTCTCAGTGCCTGAAAGGGCGGATGGACCCTCATTAAGCCTAGAATACATACATACATTGACTGCGTCACAATCAAAACCTTACACACAAGTCTGTAATCACACACCTGAAATAAATGCATTTCATAATTATTAACATATACATATGTATCTAACAGCAAACAATTAAAAAACATGTCCGCCTTCTAGTTTTCTGGCACATAGCCCTGTGTTTTTCATTGTTTTTGTCGCGAAAATTAATGAAAAAATATAGCGAATTTCGCCTATTTGAAAACTATGAATAATATATCAAATTAAAAAAATTAAATCAGATGCTACATTGTTTCTTTCTTCTTAAAAAATGCAAAATCTGAAAATAAAATCCAAACGGGGAACCATGCAATAAATTTTACCACTATTGCATACCCTTTAAATTGAAGCACTGATTTTCGGACTAGCTTTTGAATCATACATTCGAATCTGACAGATACTCCCCGAAATGAATGGGTCAAACACCACTTAAATCAATTTTACTTGATAACTGAAACACAATACTAGCCACTGAAACTTGAAATATAGCAACTTTACATATTTAGAAGCTCAAATATCCACTTCAATTACAAAATGGTCTCTTATTTGTATACACAAATGTATTTCAAACTCTGGCCAATTCGGAACTAAACGACCGAAACTGTGTACTATATATAGGGTGTGTGTGTGCGTGTTGGTGCGCGTGCGCGTGCGTGAGAGAGAGAGAGAGAGAGCACATTAATAACTGATAGGCCCTTATATCAGATAACATTACAAAGAGCTATTTCCATGTCGTTATTATCTTTTAACGATTCTTTTCATTTCATTAATATTTCTAATGCAATCTAAATTACAGTGATATATTTTTGATGAAGTGTTCATAGGAAAAATCAAGTTCTCTATCGCTAAAGTTATAGAGAAAAGGTTCATGAGAAAGGCTTTATTTTCTCCTCCGAATGTTACATTTGTTTATACAAATGTACTTGTTAAACTAGGCAGTGGGAATGTCTACTTACTTGAAGTTACGTGATTGATTTCGTCGATACAGGCTCCCAAAAAAATGTACAGTGATTGGAAGTAGCAGGAGCTTGCAATCGTGTAGCAAGACATTGCACGTTTATTTAGTTTATCCGTTGTGGACAATACGTTGCTTTTCTTGGAATGGCACTTACGTGTCACATTGTAGGTTCTATGATAACCGCCGTATGAACACATCTGCGGACGTTTCTAAATTCAAAATTTCAGCATAACCTTAATTAAATGTTAATCTGCTTAAGCTGGGGTTAGGGGGCGTGTAAAATAGTTTGCACTTGACAGTACCGTCCATGAACATGCTCAGTCGAACCGATCCTGCAACATTTTCAATTTCTAAAGTTTTGCACGTTCTTTAGGGATTCCTTAATTCTCTCTATTGAACTAAAATTAAACAGTAACTCATGAACGTTTCATTTTTTTTCAGGATAGACAGTCAAGTAAATTATGTCAGAGTATGTGTTTAAAACGCTTAATGACGAAGAATATAAAAATTGGATAAAGGCAGAAATTGGTTTGCGCACTGTACAGACGGTATTGTGCAATAGAACGGATACACCCTTAAAACGCCAGTATGAACAAATCTTGGAAGGCTATGAAAGGCTATTGGAAGTACATGCCGAAAAAAAACCCGATAAATATCAACATATCAAAAATAAAGTCATCGAAAATCACTTGTTTAAGACTAAAAATTGGCCAAATTCTAAATTAAAGATGCATCAAAAACCTGATGCTGAAAGGTATAATCATGTTGAATTTGGAAAATGTTTCATTCGGACACCGGGATACCTGGAAAAAATGAACATTTCTGAAATTGATTTTTCTGGCTTGATACATATCCTTCTGTGTAATTCAGGACTGCATTGTATTCTCGAGCAACCACCTGAAAGAGTAACTGTTGGCAAGAAGAAAGATGAAATTAAGCAACCGCATGTTTTTGCACAGGTACACGTATAACATTCATTCAAACGCTTATTAAATTAAATATTTTAAAGCAGTCAGTGAATGATAATAAAACAACAACAACAACAACAATTGACATGTATTTAAACATGTTACATGTATCTAAGTAACCAATAATTCTTCAGGAATTTTGTTTAGCTGAAAACAAATCCTTAAGTTATGGCGGTGAAGCGCAAATTTTCTCTAAGTTGTGAAGTTTGAGCATTATTTTCAAGGAGAAGTGTAGTATTAACACAATTCGCGAAAGTCAATTTACAGTTAATATTTTTCTTTTTTTTTAATAAATAGATATTTATTTTATATATATATTTATATAAAATGTTTATCTAGTTCTGATTTCAAGAAGTTGTGAAGAACTTTGAATATTTTAGGCTATTCAAATATACTTTATAATTTTGTTGTAATGACGCTTCAGTAGTCAAAGAAATATATTTTTTTTTTATTCCATTCAGTTTTAATTTTGCATTTTGGAAGTGAAGAGGGGCCTTCTTCAAATGGTTAAGAAAACTGATTGCATAGAACTGATGTAAGATTTTGCTTGATTTACAAAATATTGATATGGTTAAGGGGAATAATGATGATATTGATCATTATTATTTTTATTTCAGGCATTAAAGGTGAGAAATGATATACATCATTCTTCAAAAGGTCTCAGTACAGAGAAGTTGAATGGGTATATTTTAGACTTAATCGCTGTTCTAGATAATCTCAAACCGGACGAACTGGGTTGCACAAAAGTGCAAATAGAAAGAGCAAAGAAACGCCTGAAGGAGGTATATATTTTATGTGTTTTTTTTTCAGTGCGCTTTCGAAGATATATAGGATATTTGTTTGTTTCTGTGTAAGATGAAATTTAATTTCATCGAGTGAGCATTTAAAAATAGTATTCTCACAGTGACGTATATATGACATTTTGTCCTCAACCGCCCAATATATTTTGATTAAACTTTGCAGAAATGTCATTAGGTAGCCCTTTCCTAAAATTGATAAAATTGTTCCGCCTTACAGAATAAGGTGGCCACTAGAGTACTAGAGTAAAAAAAAAAAAAAAAAAACCAGAAAAAAACCAAAACGACCTTCTTACGGAAGCGTCCTGGTGCCAATTCATAATGTTCTACGTAGGACTTACAAAGTCCTACGTAGGAGTTTAAAAGTCCTACGTAGGAGTTACAAACTCCTAATTAGGTTTTTTTTTAGCTCACCTGAGCTTGCTCAGGGTGAGCTTTTAGGATCGATGAATGTCCGTCGTCCGTCGTCCGTCCGGCCGTCCACAATTGCTTGTGAACACTCTAGCGGTCGCATTTTTGCCTCAATCATCATCAAACTTGGTCAGGATGCTTATCTAGTTTAAAGCTCGGATGAGTTCGAACATGGGTCATCTCAGATGAAAAACTAGGTCACAAGAGCTAAAAATAGAAAAACCTTGTGAACACTCTAGAGGTCACATTTTTGACCCAATCTTCATCAAACTTGGTCAGGATGTTTGTCTAGGTGATAGCTCGGATGAGTTCGAACATGGGTCATCTCGGATGAAAAAGTAGGTCACCGGAGCTAAAAATAGAAAAACCTTGTGAACACTCTAGTGGTCACATTTTTGAACCAATCATCATCAAACTTGGTCAGAATGCTTGTCTAGTCAATTGCTTGGATGAGTTCGAACATGGGTCATCTCTGATGAAAAAACTAGGTCACAGGAGCTAAAAATAGAAAAACCTTGTGACCACTCTAGTGGTCACATTTTTGACCCAATCATCATCAAACTTTGTCAGGATGCTTGTTTAGATAATAGCTCGGATGAGTTCGAATATGGGTCATCTCGGATGAAAAACTAGGTCACCGGAGCTATAAATAGAAAAACCTTGTTAACACTCTAGCGGTCACATTTTTGCATCAATCATCATCAAACTTGGTCAGGATGCTTATCTAGTTGATAGCTTGGATGAGTTCGAACATGGGTCATCTCGGATGAAAAAGTAGGTCACCGGAGCTAAAAATAGAAAAACCTTGTTAACACTTTAGCGGTCACATTTTTGCATCAATCATCATCAAACTTGATCAAGATGCTTGTCTAGGTAATAGCTCGAATGAGTTCGAACATGGGTCATCTCGGATGAAAAACTAGGTCACAGGAGCTAAAAATAGAAAAACCTTGTGAACACTCTAGAGGTCACATTTTTGACCCAATCTTCATCAAACTTGGTCAGGATGTTTGTCTAGGTGATAGCTCGGATGAGTTCGAACATGGGTCATCTCGGATGAAAAAGTAGGTCACCGGAGCTAAAAAAAGAAAAACCTTGTGAACACTCTAGTGGTCACATTTTTGAACCAATCATCATCAAACTTGGTCAGAATGCTTTTCTAGTCAATTGCTTGGATGAGTTCGAACATGGGTCATCTCTGATGAAAAACTAGGTCACAGGAGCTAAAAGTAGAAAAACCTTGTGACCACTCTAGTGGTCACATTTTTGACCCAATCATCATCAAACTTTGTCAGGATGCTTGTTTAGATAATAGCTCGGATGAGTTCGAATATGGGTCATCTCGGATGAAAAACTAGGTCACCGGAGCTATAAATAGAAAAACCTTGTTAACACTCTAGCGGTCACATTTTTGCATCAATCATCATCAAACTTGGTCAGGATGCTTATCTAGTTGATAGCTTGGATGAGTTCGAACATGGGTCATCTCGGATGAAAAAGTAGGTCACCGGAGCTAAAAATAGAAAAACCTTGTTAACACTTTAGCGGTCACATTTTTGCATCAATCATCATCAAACTTGATCAAGATGCTTGTCTAGGTAATAACTCGAATGAGTTCGAACATGGGTCATCTCGGATGAAAAACTAGGTCACAGGAGCTAAAAATAGAAAAACTTTGTTAACACTCTAGTGGTCACAATTTTGACTCAATTGTCATCAAACTTGGTCAGGAAACTTGTCTAGGTCATTGCTGGGAATAAATCGAACATGGGACATCTCGGATGAAAAACTAAGTCACAGGAGCTAAAAATAGAAAAATCTTTAACACTCTAGTGGCTACTGTTGTGATCCAAATATTCTGTTAATTGGTCTGAAAGTTTGTTTTGATGATTTCTAAGTCAAGATCGAACATGGGTCATCTTGGATGAAAAACTAGGTCACACCGCCCAAATATGGAAAAACCTTGTTAACATTCTAGTGGTCACATTTTCGACTCCATTATCATCAAACTTGGTCAGAATGCTTGTCTAGGTAATTGCTTGGATGAGTTCGAAATCGCATGTGAAACTAGGTCACCGGAGCTAAAAATAGAAAAATCTTGTTAACACTCTAGTTGCTACTGTTTTGATCCAAGTATCCTGGAAATTGGTCTGAAAGTTTGTTTTGATGATTTCTAGGTCAAGTTTGAATATGTGTCACCTGGGTAAAAAACTAGGTCGCACTGCTCAAATATGGATAATCCTTGTTAACACTGTAGTGGTCACATTTTTGACTCACCTGTCATGAGACTTGGTCAGAATGCTTGTCTAGGTAATTGTTTGGATGAGTTTGATAATTCAGGTGAGCGATCTAGGGCCATCATGGCCCTCTTGTTTTATCTCCTACGTAGGAGTTTATTTTTTTCGTACCTTCTTCCTAATTATTAAGTAAATTTTATAAAATTTTACAGGAATGTTTAGTTTGCTAAATGGTTCCGGTCTGGCGAACAAGACTGCCACCAGGGCTAAAATAAGAAAAAAAACTTTACCTTAACTATAGGGTATAGATTTTGATAAAACTAAAAAGGGATGGTCCTTAGATAGTCGTCTATTATAATTGATCAAATGGTTCCGGTTTGCCAAACAAGATGGCCGTCTGAGCTTAAGATAGAAAAATGTCTTCAGTCGCCCAACATATATTTATAAAACTGTATAGAAACGATCATTGGTGAAGTTGCTTAAATGCTGAATAAAATGGCTGCCATTCCTAAGAATAAGAAAAAACCTTTAAAACCTCACGCCCTTCTTAACTATTAGGTAGATTTTGATGTAACTATACATGGATGATACTTGGGAAGTTTTCATCTCCTCCTGAACTATTGGGTCTATATATATTTTTTTTTTGTAAAAAAAAACTATAGACAAATGGCCGGTGGATTATACTCAAATGGTTTCGGTCTGCTGATCAAGATTGCCGTCAGAGGTTAAAACAACAACTTTTAACAAGAACCGGTTGAACCGGGTGATGCTCCCCGAGAAGGTTCTGGACACAGGAAAGTATAAAAAAAATGAACAAAGGGCAATAACTCCAAAATTACACCAGGCTTTGTTTAGGTTCTTGAAGCGTTGCAGTTCTATCCAATTATATCTAGCTACCTACAAAGTTTCATGTTGATATCTCTAATAGTTTTAAAGTAATGTCCAGGACAAAAGTCAAAAAGTAAAAATAAACAAAGGGCAATTACTTCAAAATAAGGCAAGGCAGAGTAATGATTCTTAAGCACTGCACTTCCACCCGATGAGACCTATCTATCTACAAAGTTTCATGTTGATATCTTTTATAATTTTAGAATAATGTCCCAGACAAAGTTCAAAGTGTCAAAATGAACAAAGGGCAATAACTACAAAAGAAGGCAAGACAGTGTTACAGTTCTTGTGCACTGCAAACTTACTCAATGAGATCTATCTACCTACAAAGTTTCATGTTGATATCTCTTATACATTAAGAAATATGTCCCGGAAAAAGTTCAAAGTGTAAAAAATAAACAAAGGGGGATAATTCAAAAATTAGGCAAGGCAGAGTTAAGGTTCTTGTTCACTGCACACCTACTCAATGAGATCTATATACCTACAAAGTTTCATGTTGATACCTCTTATACTTTTAGAGTTATGTCCCGGACAAAGTTCAAAGTGTAAAATAAACAAAGGGGGATAATTCAAAAATTAGACAAGGCAGAGTTACGGTTCTTGTGCACTGCATACCTACTCAATGAGAACTATCTACCTACAAAGTTTCATGTTGATACCTCTTATACTTTTAGAGTTATGTCCCGGACAAATTTCAAAGTGTAAAATAAACAAAGGGGGATAATTCAAAAATTAGGCAAGGCAGAGTTGCAGTTCTTGTGCACTGCACACCTACTCAATGAGATCTATCTACCTACAAAGTTTCATGTTGATACCTCTTATACTTTTAGAGTTATGTCCTGGACAAAGTTCAAAGTGTAAAATAAACAAAGGGGGATAATTCAAAAATTAGGCAAGGCAGAGTTACGGTTCTTGTGCACTGCACTTCTACTCAATGAGATCTATCTACCTACAAAGTTTCATGTTGATATCTCTTATACTTTTAGAGTTATGTCCCGGACAAATTTCAAAGTGTAAAATAAACAAAGGGGGGTAATTCAAAAATTAGGCAAGGCAGAGTTACGGTTCTTGTGCACTGCACACCTTCTCAATGAGATCTATCTACCTACAAAGTTTCATGTTGATACCTCTTATTCTTTTAGAGTTATGTCCCGGACAAAGTTCAAAGTGTAAAATAAACAAAGGGGGATAATTCAAAAATTAGGCAAGGCAGAGTTACGGTTCTTGTGCACTGCACTTCTACTCAACGAGATCTATCTACCTACAAAGTTTCATGTTGATACCTCTTATACTTTTAGAGTTATGTCCCGGACAAAGTTCAAAGTGTAAAAATAAACAAAGGGGAATAATTCAAAAATTAGGCAAGGCAGAGTTACGGTTCTTGTGCACTGCACACCTACTCAATGAGATCTATCTACCTACAAAGTTTCATGTTGATACCTCTTGTTGTTTCAAAGTTATGTCCCGGACAAGAAAAGGGGACGGACGGACGGACGGACGGACGGACGGACGGAAAGACGGACGGACGGCCGGACGGACGGACGGACAAGGCGGCGACTATATGCTCCCCCGAAATTTTTTCGGGGAGCATAAAAAATTTAGTTACCATTTAAAAGTTCTGTTTAGTTTAAAATGTACTTTGTGAAGAGTCCGTTCATGGACGGCGGTGCTAATTGCGAGGTACCCTCCACGCCCCTAGCACTGGCTTAGGCAATATTCAATATTTAAACAAGTAAACGGAAATGTGAGGTTTTTGTTGGTTGCTCTTAAATAAAAAAAATCATAAATGCTTGGTCCTCTTCTCTTTTTGATTTACGTCAATGACACCCACGAAAACCTACTACATACTCAGTTTGACTTGTCCTTTTGCAGGTGATAGCTCTTTGGCAGTAGCGAGCGAAGATTCAGAATTTATAGAGATGACTCTAAATATTGACTTTTACTAAATGGGCAAACCAATGGCTTGTCTCCTTTAAAATCCTAATAAGACCGAAGCATTATTTAAAAAAAAATGAAACACACTTTTTCTTGTACTTTAACACAGTTCAACTTAATTACACCCAACACAAGCACCCGCGATTAACCTTAAGTGATGATGGAACTTTAATAATATAACTTAATCTTCATCTAAGAAAGACGTTAAATCAAATTTATATTTCCTACATGAGACCTTAGAATATGCTAGTCTTATTTGGAACAGTTGTACCTTATATGAAAAAGAAAAATGCAATACGAAGCTGCGCGCTTAGTAACTGGTTTGACTTGCTCAGTGTCTATAGAAAGACTTATGCACGAAATAGGTTGGGTCTCGTTAGCACATCACCGTTTCATGCAAAATTATCAATTACGTATAAAGCTAAAAATTAGGAGCTTCCAAGTTATCTGGACACCTTTCCCCCAAATATTGTATCAGAAAGTAGCCAATATAATGATAATTATGTAACAATAGTAAGACGAACAGAAATATTTTCTAGATCATTTATACCGTCAGCAATATCGACATGGAATAGTCTTGATAATGATATACGTGACACATCAAAACAAAAGTAAAGGATAAATTCAAACCCACCAATGTTCCTAAATATTTTTTAATTGGAGAAAGATTAATATCTGTTTACCATGCACGTTTAAGAAATAGATGTGTAATTTGAATCATGATCTATATAGAAATCACTTTGCTGACTCCGGTTTTTGTGAATTTTGTCATATCGAGGAGAATGCCGAATATTTTGTTTTAACTATGAACTTTTTGTGGCGTTCAAAGACTCCAACTTTTCAATTCTACCCGCCCATTTCACCCATTAAGTACAAGTACTCTCCTTTATGGAAAAGAAAATTTATAAAGCAAAGAAAACCTTTTTTATGTAAAACGCTGATTCCATTTTGTAAACAATTTAGTGTATCTTATTTTGCCACTTTGTATTTCAGCCTATTTTTAGATCAATGTTAACGGAAATGAAGATTTAACTATTGCTTGATAAAAATACAATTTCTTACTTGCTGTTGCTGCCTTACACACAAATATAATTTAATATAATGATTTTAGTTGAAGAAAATAGACTTTCATGTATCAACAACAGAAGAAATTCAATCTCTGGATGACGCTATCGCCTTTGTCAAATCAGAAATTGAACGACTGAAAATAAGAGAAACGGATATGCTTAATAATATTGATGATATTCAAAAGAAAGTGGATTCTCACGAATCAGTAAGACTAAGTATATAAATCATTTATATTATATCTAATATTTATGTTATGTAGTGCTTTATGCAGTAGTTGATATTGATTTACTTACTATTACAAAGAATTAAGGGTTCATGTTGAATTTATTACGTTATACAGTGAAATAATTTAAAAAGCATATATACTTCGAGAGCAATCTACACAACATTTTACAAAATGATGAACATTTCAGACTCCATTTTATCAAGTTTGTTTAGGACAGGTTATGAATAGTGTTACATTTCACACCCGCTGGTACCGGCACAAGGAGTATTCCTTCTTCAGAATAATCGATACATAACAAATTTAAGTCATTTTAATAAATAAATCTATTTTTGCAGAGACTAAATGTTCATGACCAGAGACTAAATGCTCTTGAGAATATTCGTAAAGAGTCTGAGAAACTTGCAATGACCAGGAAAGATCTTAATAATCAGAAACAGAAAAAAGGTAACACTATGTAATTTTATCTTGTATTTTATACAATTCTTGTAAAACTACATTGCATTAGAGTCATATACAGGTAATTAAAACTTGTAACCCTTTAACACATTTAGCCGCCAGAAATTGTAACTTAAAGCTTTTTAGATCTAAATAAAAACAGAAAAAACTACACGATTTTTTAAAATTTCTTTTCAGAGTTGCAACAACACCTTATTGGCTTGTACAATGACTGCTATGTCAAAACCTCTCTCTGTCCATTCGATCAAAGAGACAATGTAATTAACATTGCAGACATATATGTCGAGCCAAATATTGAAGAATCACAAAAAGTATTTGGAAGAGATATAAATCTATCAGATTTATTAAGAAAGAATCGCAGAGGCGCTAAAAGAGTTTTCGTGATAGGTCATGTTGGAAGCGGAAAAACGTCCCTTTGTCTGTTTTTCCTTCAATCTTGGTGCAATTCGGTAGCAGAAAACAGAGATGAGTCAAATACAAAATCAAATGAGTTTAAAAACATTATCAGAGAAATGAGGAACTATGATTTTGTATTTTATTTACCATTATGGGCAGTTTCAGAAGAAATCGACAACTATCAAGAGATGATCAAGACATACTACCAGGAGTTCAATATTGACAATATAATAGATGAAGTTTTCGAGAAAGACTCTCATAAATGTATTTTACTAGCAGACGGACTTGATGAATGGAAACTCCCTCAAAGCATTGATTCTCGGCCATTACATTATATGTATGGTTGTCCAGTATTAAGCAGACTATCACAATCTACAGTCATGGTAACTTCTCGACCAAATGCTACTGGAATTCTTCGTATGCGTAAAAGTGATAGAGATTTAGAGGTGAATCTTTTGGGTGTTACTTCAGTTGAGTATATGATACAAAAGTACTGCGAAAATCATTATTGTAAGGAAACAACAAAAACTGATATTTTAGAAAAGGTAAAAAAATTGACAGAAGTGCATAAATTAAAAACGCCAATGTTGCTTTCTTGTTTAGTATGGATGTTAACGAATGGTTTCGATATTGAGCAGACGAATGTGAGCGCAACCTATAGTAGTATCATAAACATCATGTTCGAATGGCATAGTTCGAAATTTGAAAGCAGCACACATGTCGAGTGTGATAAGATTGCAAGTATACATTTACCTGAAATGCTTGAAAAATATAAAATATCACATGAAAACCGATTGGCTATCTCTAATTTAAGTAGAATAGCATTTGACATGGGCAATGCACCTATTTGTCAAACAGATGTAGAAAGCTATTGTTCAGGTGATAAACTAACATATTTGCTTAAAACTGGAATGCTACATCACCAACAAATGTTCTTTCCAAACAAAACTTTCCGCTTTTCATTTATACACACATCGTTTCTTGAATATTTTGTTGCCTTGCACGTAGTCATTAGCCAAAACGAAACACATGAAGTACAATGTGAATTTTTTGAGCGTTGTACGAACGTAGCAAATATATTAAGATTAAGCAATGTTTTCGTATTTATATGTGGACTGGCCCCAAAGCTAATTGATTATATTTTCGAACATATATATAAAACTTTATCACGTAAATCGGAAACATTTTTTGAAATTCAAGAACAATTTCAAATACAGGAGCTGGTGAAGAAATGCTTGTTAGAACATAGTTTAAGCAGTAAAGTTGAACCTCAAGACATTTTACATTATGCATTGGTCGTAACCGGAGAAGAGGATGAATTTACAAACACCGCAAGGTTCATAAAAAATGTTGACATTGAAAAAATCATGACTCTTTCTATAGAAAACTGCATTATTTCAAAAATGTCTGAAGAACTAACGAAGGCATACTATTTCTTAATAGTTGAAGTAATGCAAAAACCTGCAGTTCTGCAGCACAATATGAATATAAATGGAATAAGGGCAAATAAACTTACCTCATTATCAATTTGCAAATGCGTAATATCGCATGATGATTATCTAGAACTCACATCACTCGTTGAGCAAGCTGTTGCACTGGAATCGCTGGAATTAAAATATATAAAATGCGAAACAAAGCATAACAAATCTCACGAACGACATATCATTGATCTTAAAGAAAATACCAAAATAAAGAACTTGCTGTTAATAGATAAGAAAAATGCATTTACTTGCAAGATAAAAAATCTGAAAAACAGTCTTAAAAAATGTGTTATACTATGTACGGATCTTATAGAAATAGACTGCTTAATACAGTGTCAAAATTTGAAACACTTGAATTTTGGAAGCTGTGATGAAAGTTATGGTGAATATAACATACATATGAACGAGGTTTTGCGATCCACTAACACACTAAAGACACTGCATATCAGAAATATGAATTGCGTTGATGTATCCCCAGTGCCTAGAGGTTCGATGAATCAATTGTGCGACATCAGAATGTACAATTTAAAAATGAGTTCCAAAAGTTTTGGAGAATTTCTAGATGGTATTATATTATGCCTTCAACAGCGCGTTGGTGAAGTACGCGTTAGGGTCGATGCACGCTACATATCATTTTTTACAGAGGAGGAATTGCAGAATTCATTGCAAATGATTGCCGAACGATCAGATAAACTAGTAGCAGAAGAGCTAAATATCAGCAACGACAACACTTGTATTGATGTTAAAATTATAACAACAACCTGTTAGAACTTGAAAACAAATGGACTTTAGGCAAATGAATGCAGATCAACACGGAAAGGCGACAGTCAATGAATGCATCCCCAAACAAATTCCAACAACACAAAACTACCGGAACATAGCAGGGCACCGGACAAAACAGGAGAGAACAAAACAACGAGGCAACAAAGAGGCATTATTGTTAACAATTTAATTTAATATATCATATTGAAGAAAACCAATATAGAAATTGTTGTGTAATATGATATACTCTCTAGTCACGTGGGTTTAACTCGGTGTAGATTTGTCTCTCTGATAACAGTTTGATAGAATGCTTTTATATGTAAACATATGCTCTAGCTAGTACTTAGAATAAAACTTATATATATTTAACAGTGTTATGGTTATAACTGACCATCGGTCATTCAGACAATAGTACAGAAATTAAAGAAAGTAATTTATTTAGACTGAATCGGAACAAGGGTATTGTGTAAGGGAAAACGAAATAATTGGATTTATCATATACCTATACATATCTTTTCAAACACGTAATGCAGAGTAATTATAGGAGTATCTTGAATCTGTGCGAGATGGAACCCGCGTGGATATTGGAGCGCAATTAATTTTTTAAGCATGTAGAGTCACGTGACCCATGTTTGAAATATGACGGAGCACGTGATCTTTAAACCGAGCATGATTGGTAAATCAACGCTGTATAACTATTTAAAAATGGTAACAACATCATGTGCTTCATGCACACATAGTAGTTTCAAATGGGTATGCAAAAGACTATTCAAATGCATTTAAAAATAAAAAAAAAGAATTAAATGTAAATTTGGCAGTTATAGTCTTTATCATCAATATGTTAAGACAAATATCAAACGTCCGGATGATAAAACAACCTTCAGCTTTTGTTTGTTTGTATGGTTTACGGCGCACCAGAATTGGTCATATGGTGCCGAAACAGAAAAGATGATTTTGGCTTACCTCGGGTGAAAAAAAATTGACGAAATAGGACAGGCAATAAAATTGTTCGACCATTGTTCTCATTAAATTTGGTTCGGCCATTGCATTCGTTTTTTTTTAAAAAGATGCACAACTTCGTTATGAAAAAACGTTAGTTATAAATATTTCTTTCAGACCAGAGGAAGTGAGTACAAACTCGGTATTATACGCAACACGGTGAATACTGACACTCGATATCTTTTTCAGTATAAACGATTCAGTCTGACAATTCCGGAAATGTGGGGTAGGTCCAAAATTAAGGATGGCGAAACATTTTAAAGCAAGGGATGTAATTGTTTCGTGATCGATCGATTCTGAACAATATAAATAATAACATTTTATTAGCAAAACACCGAAAATGTGCGGCAGGACTGCAGAGGGTAAACTAACCTGAATCGATTGTGATCGACTCCAGTCCAAACTTAAACAAGAAAAGCATTGATGCAAAGCATCAAAGGGCGTCCAAGCAAGAAATGCAGCAAGTGAAGATGAACTAGTACACATATGATGACAAGATATTCTTATAAACTACCAGAAATGTATATCACTTATAAATGAGCGGACGAAAGACATTGTTCATTATGAACTTTGATTGGCATGCTAGAGATTAGAATATTACTTGTTATTTCTTTATGATCGTGGTTATTAATAGCAACGGATATACATGTATGCAATCATTTATAATCTATATGTGTAACGCATGATCAACACGTAGCACACATTTGTAAGATCCTTATTATGTTATCGCTTATTAGCGAAGACCCCCTTAAGGTATCTGTTCACACTTTAAGTTAGTAAAAATATGACACTGGTTATATTACCATGTTGATCATGTTGAGCATAATTGTTTATTATACAATAATTGTAATATCTATTAATTTTAATTCAAAAAAAAAAAAAAAATTATGAATATTGTTTTCTTTTATTCTTTTTTGTGTTTTATGCGCTATTTTAATACTGAGTTTTTTACTACTCTTTTTTTATTAAAATTGTGAAATAAATCTTAAGAATTCAATTGTCATATTGACCGACGATTATAAGTCAAAGCTTAACTTGAAAAAGTCAGTAAATTATGGTTTATCTTTCAATATATAATATCGTTTATTCTTAAACCATGTACATGTACATTGTATTTTTCTTTATCATTTTTTAAATTATCAATCAATTGAATAATTCATAAAATCTAATTTGTAACTTTGAATAATTCCTCGGCATCTTTACTAAACACGGATAACAAATTAAATAAAATGTTTCAAAGTTGATAATGTCATTTTAATACCATAAAAAATGTACCTTTTTCTCAATTATTGTACATATCACGGATTTATATTACATATAAATCCGTGTACATATTTATTGTTTTTATCTCATATAGATAAAATGAAACATGCTATTGTTGTTTTTTTTTTCTAATTGTAACGATATCAAACATCTACTCCAAAACCGGGAGAGACCGGTCAATAAACGTGTGGTACTATTCGCCGGTCACTAGTAAATCCTGGTCAAAATAGACCGGGAGAGACCGGCATTTACCGATAGGAGTGATAAATAGATATATCTATAAATAGGTTTTTGGAATATTTAGGTCATCAACTGATCATTCTAGGATACATGTACAACAATAACATACCATGATAACCGACTGTGTACTACAAAATGATAAATAAAAAACCCCGAAGAGCGCGATTTATTGACGAAAAAGGTTATTTATTTCATTTGAAAATGTTTGCATTGCGAAAATTCATTGTAACATATCGCGACATTTCATTCTTAATTAATAATCAAGCACCCTCATACCGATCGGAATTTTCGGCTTTTATTATGACCGACTAAAAGGCTCGAGAAGTTGCTGTCGCCCTTTCACAAAATCTGATTTCATTCCATAAGAGCGCCGCGCTTCGGCGCGGACGCCAATGAATACTGAGACGATTTCATGTTTAAATATGACTTTTTCTAAGCTGATGTGGACGGTAGCTATTACCTAACATTTGCCACAATCGTCATTAGACAAGGTCAATGAAACCGTTCCTGCAACATTTTCATTCTTGCCGTTTGAGCTTACTTCCATTTCGTTTTACATATTTTTTCGTGACATATACACACATCGCTACCCATAATTGACATATCTGCCGACATACTTATATACTCCGGCGTATGATTTAACAAATGTAAAAAAAACGTCACAGAGGTTTTGGTATATTGGCTGCTGTTTAATTTCTAAAACAATTTAATTTTAAAAATCGATTTCATCATGTATATATCCTTATCAAATAAAACGTGGTTGAAAAAAGTTTAGTGAGTTTTAAGTGATTAAGTATGAACATTTATATGACGTGTAATAGTGTTTTGTTCTAAAACAACTTATTATTTGCTACAGGTAGATACATGATATCAGATCATGTATCTCACTCCTTCTGTCAACATCCATTTGTAATTCTTTTGTGGTTTGATGTCATCTATTTCATAAAATAGGAGGTACTTTGAATACAATTATTGATTCCAGGATAGATCAATTCACTTTTATATGAGAGTAAGAGTCGTGGAGTGAGGCTTAAATGTTATCTTTACTACTGAAAATAACCTTGTCATACATGTTACTGTATGAATTTGTGATTTTCTGTCTAATTAACATTTCGTTTAAATATTCTTGGATATTGAAACGGATCATTAAATGATTTCATTATATTTAAAAACCTAAGTCAGTTAAAGTCCAATGGATTTCAACACATAGGCGTAAGAAGAAATGAAAAAGTAGATGTTTTGGCTAAATACTCATAAAAATACTCAACGATTTTAGCGATTTTAAATAATCCACGAATGAACTTAGTTTTTAACATATTTGTTTTCCGAATATATACATTTACATATATACATATAAAAACAAATCAAACATGTTTATATTCAAGAAAAGGTTTAGAACGGAAGACTAAGTCTTATAAAATTCTTCACTTTTTTATTGTATTTCTATAACGTATCGAAGTTTGCACTATCTCAAAAAGTATGATAAATCGGGAATATAAATATTTTGGAAGATATAAATTTACATTATCGGATGAGAAATTAAATTGGAACAAAGCCGTATTTATCAATCCCTATCCTTATATAAACATATCTCTATCTCTAATAAGTCGCCGTTATCAAGTGGTACTTCATCAATGTCGAATCGGACACACACGTATTACACATTTTTTTTCTCTAAACAAGTCACAATTATTGTTTTGTATAGCTTTAAAGGAATGTTTCTCGCTGTAAATCGTTTTTCTTCTTGAATGTCATGACCTATTACATGTTCGTAATAAACTTTTATCACTAGGAGGTGTCGTTATGCGTCAGTTCCATTAAAAACGCATATTAATTACAAAGGCTTGTTAAAGCATTATTACTTTTTCATGTAATGTTCTGTTTCAGTTTCTTAGCGATTCGGCATGACTGCAGATATAGTGACTAAGTAGTATGTATGGAAGTCAAAATACCGCTTTATTTACATTTTGCTACCTTTGTAAGAAATCATTTACGTATAACTTACTTCCGCTGATAAGCATGTAAAATGGTTCTAAATTCAATAATAACAACATAATAAAACACACAATTGTCCTTTCTACAGAAAGAAAAGAGTTCTCTCTGAGGCTTAATGTGGCTTTAAAAAAGATAATAAGTAACAAATATTTATATTAGAAGATGTACTTTTGACACGTACCTTTCGACTGTAACAACGAATTTGGGTCAATATATAGTGCAATATGGTTAAAAAAATTCAACAAAGTACTAAATGATTTCCAATTTTCAATTTCATTCTTTCAAAATAATAATATTGTACAGAATACAAGAAACATGTGCTTGTTGACATAAATTTATATATATCATTAAAAACACTTATAGCAGATTTTCCCAATTTTGCTTTATGTAAGTCCATATTTCAGCAACTTTTAACTTAGCGACCAGCCATATTTTCTACATCCTTATTTTTAGTCTTTTAATATTTTATTCACTATGATCAACATTTGCTTTATATGTTATTATGAATGTGAAAAGTGAATGAGACGCAAATAAACGGGCTCTGAAATATATCAGAATACACGAAAATACTCAAACGAGCAAAACCACATCATTTTTTGTCCAAAAGTAAACCCATTATCCGACATCATCATGACATCGATTTGAATGTCAAAACGTACACTGTATGTACAGATTTTTTTATTCTAAGGATCTTCGCAATGGTTATATTACTTTTATTGAGTTCTGGGCGTCCTTGGAATAGCTTGATTGCTGACTTCAAACCACTTTGCCATCGCCGCTATGGGTTCGATCCCCGCCAGAGACTTTGCATTCTTTCATGTGAGGAAGTTATCCAGCTAGGTAACGGAACGTCGATGGCTCAATGAGGTGCCCGTTGGTGGCAGGGAGGGCACCTTAGGTTTTTTCTGAACAGTAAAGCAGGAAAGTCCCCCAACCAAAAATGTTTATTTCTGCATTGTAGCCGTTTCATTAACAATTAGCAAAAAATACGAACGTGAAAATTGCGATCGGCACTGGCTAAATTTCTACCGCCCAATCTAGACTGTGAAGTCTTCAGAGGCGTTAAAGGCCAATCTACGCACTCTACGCTAAGCAATCCCCAGACTGAGACTAGAAAAGTAGCCTTTTTTGTCAACGTCCTAAAAGCCGTCCTGTTAGCTCAAAAAGTATAGCAGACCGGACGACATGGGTTCGATTCCTGGTCTATACTGGTCACTTTTGTTTAATTGATCCTTTCTACGGTCATTTACATTGTAACTCTGCCCGCACAAGTACAGAAGTTATCGGTTCCTTGCAAAAGTGAAGGCACTGGTACCGGTACACTGCTTCACATCCTGTCCAGATCAGTGCAGTGGCTGATATGTGCTATGGTGAATTAAAAAAGGCTTACCGTCATAATGCGGAGGGTTAACTACCACTTCAACCACCACCAACAACAACAACGTCGTAACCTGGCTGATAGCTTCCAAACCAGTCATTTTATAGTTGGAATTAAAAATGCAAATGTATGTCTCACCAGAATAATATATAATATATGATTAGTTCTTTATGCCAAAAATAGATTTTTCATAGTGACTCTATATCAAGATAAGTATACAGATTGGCATTTTGCCATAAATTCCCATTATTGATAGATCCTGACTGAAGACTTAGTTTCCATAACCAAAATCCATGATCATGATCATAATAATACCCAAATACTATGATAGAACAGCACCATATTTTGTAAAAATTATTTTAGATATCTCGCAGCTTACTAGGTAATTCCAACCAGATTCTGTAACAGATCACAGACAAGACGTGACACTGTTTTTTCAAGCCTTTAATATTTCAACTGAAATACATGTTTTTCTCGCTGTAACAGAAAAGTACTCCTGGTCTGACAAGGAGCGAAACCCAAAACCATACAATACGATTTTTATTGTTTGTTAATTATATAATTAATAAATTATTGGATTAACCTCTAGCTGTAACTTCAAGTCCCTGAGTCCCTAATTTTACTCTTTACCTTTGTTCGAGAAGAATGCACGTGCCGATATTGAAGTGTGTGAGCCAGACGACGAGGAAACTAATTTAAATGCAGATGACTTTTCCAGTTACTTTAAAAACAACAAAACAAAGGGGAATTTATAATCTTATACTTCACAAAGATAACAAGTAAAAAGGCATTCCTTAAGAAACTCAGACAATTGGACAATTATGATGGATTGACATAATTGTTTTAATCTCTACATAATTACTTAAAACAAAATAACAAAACATTTTTCAAAACAATCTTAATTTTTTGTTTGCTTGGTTTTGAGTTAAATGCGCTTGAAAGTGACCTTAAAAGAGTAAAAAAAAAGAAGACTAAAAAGGTAAAATGGTGACCCTAATTATTTTATACATCTGTTTGTTTTAATTTTTTTCATGCAAAGAAATTAATATGCATTAGTTTGAATGTTCCTTCTTTAACCCTGTAAAATGCAGGAGACATTTTCATAAAAAATCTTACGATATACATGTATCATAAGTACTGTAGGTATAAATTGCCTCATCACTTATTTTACATGGCTAAACCTTTGGTATCTTTGTTTAGCATGTGCATTCTTTTGAGATAAATATTATTATTATTACACTCTATATACCAATCGCTTTTAAATTGATTTATTTGTTAGTTAACTTACATTTAAAAATTAATATCTTAAATGTAAAATTTTTGAACAACCCTTCTTGCGCAAGTTGTATGCGCAAGCAATCCCATAGTTTAAATGTAATTTCATTATGCGCAGTTTGGCAGTTTGTGTCGTCCCATTAATGGGCGTATAACACTGTATAATGAATTACCGTCAAAGACCTTTTCATGATGACTTCGGAAGAGACTTTAGAGACAAAAACTGTTTTGCTGAAGCAGGTTCCAACACGTGTTACTTCGGAATGCATTTCAACATACATTGATGGTAAAACGACTGAAGGAACAATAGAGAGGTGTGTTCGACAGACTGATCAAGATAGTGGTGAAGATTCAAATACGTGGATTCTACTTATGAATTCAGCGCAAGGTATGTTTTAATGCTCTGTAGTTTTAAAAATATTCTTTGAAGTGGCTATTTTGTTTAATTCATTCAATGTCTTAAACTGCACAATTAATTATAAATATAAAATAGGACTCCACTGATGGTCTTCAACATGACGCGCAATTAAAATATATTTTCAAGATTTGCCTAAGCCTTAAAGTTGTGTGTAAAATTTCAGTTCATTCGTTTAAAAAGTTTTTTTCTCCAGAATAATCAGTGGTGCAAAATTGCTAAAAATGAAAAGTGCTTTACATCGGCCTAACAATCACATACGATATTGATTTTATTTTAATTCTGAGCATATTTATTCATTTTTTTGTATTATTATTTTTTTCGTTTTAAATGCCGATGTTTATTTATTTTAAGTTTCACGATTTTAGGCCTTAAGAATCCCTAAAGAAAGTCCCAAACGGCAAAATTGAAAATATAGCAGGCTCGGTTTGGTTAAGCTTGTTCATGGACGGTACTGTCAAGTGTAAACTACCGTCCACGACTCCCAGTACCGGCTGGAGCAAAATTCAACATTTAAACATTGAATGGCAAAATTTTGAATTAAGACACATCCGCAGATGTGTTCATACGGCGGTTATCATAAAACCTTCAGCTTTAAAAGCGAAAACTCAGAATCTTCCTGAATGGTTCCTACTATAACATTGACGGTTCTCCCGCTCAAAGCGCTTACGGTTGCTAAGCGACATCTCACAATTTGAAACCTCCAAAACATATTTGTTTTTAATGATCAGATCCGGTTCGCGTATTGAAGGCGACTTTTGTGTTTTATAGATTTGTACTAAAATTGAAGAAACACAAGAGTCTTCTCCAAAACTGTAGTCCGGTTTTCAGTCGTACGAAACGTCTTAAAATTGAAATATTTGAAATGTAGATTAAAGTCTAATGTCATACCAGCCGTATTCATTTCTTTTTAATTTCATTAACTTTAGTATATGTTTGCTTTTTTACTTTCCGTGTTAAACATTTCGGATATAGCTTGCACAGATTCGGTATTATCTTTGCACAAATCGTGCGGTATTTTCACATTCCTGTGTTACGGGATATACACAGTGTATATAACTTATTGTCAAGACATAAAAGATATGATGTATTTGTTTTGAAACATTGACTCAGCTGGAAAAATTCAGAACCTGTCTGAATTTACGACAGCTATATTACCGTGTATATCAAGTTACATAGGACAGTGAAAAAAAAAACACAGACACTTGGTTTGTGGAGCTCCAAATAACTTAAAATCCAAATAAGTTGTACGTTTTGTCAATCCAAGCACCTTTTCAAACTTATACTATATACTGTGCCGCTATAGTAATGTGAGAGTAACGTTGCATTTTTTGTGTAGACAAAAGTTAACAATATTTGTCTTAATAGGTAAAACACGTTTTAGCAACCAATATAGTACAAGATAAAAAACAGAATTTTAGATGTCTCGATGGCAAAGTTGGCAAAGTCATTAGGATATTATACAACTGATTTTTTTTCACGTTTCGACCCTCACAAGTTGTCTAACTTTTTCTTTTTTATTGTTTCCCTATTTTTTTTTCATTTTTACTAAGGATGCAAATGGTAAGTTGTTATAATACATAATATGTTGAATATGGCGGTAATACTATTTTTATCCTGTGTGGTGTGTAGCATGTACTTGAACAGAGCACTAGTAATTCGTGTCATCTGAAATATTGTTGAAACAATTTGTGTATTCATTCCGTTGATTTTATACAGATTAATGTTGTACAAAAATTGCTAGATATTCCTTTTGAAAACAAAACAAAAATGTGAAATGGGAAGTTAAAAGAAATGAACACAGCACTTAAAATTTCCATCACATGAAAAGACAATGTTTTCTTATCACAGTATACAAATAATGGACTGTGCAACTGTATGTAGTTAACCGAGATTTAATATCGTGGAACCAGGCTAAAATTTAATTATGCGACCACCTAAAGGTAGTTTTGCATTTGGACAAAATGCATCGGTGTAAGAGCTTGTCATAAAACATCTGAATTTTTAAATATATCCATATGTTGACTTTTTGAAACTAGGAACCAAGTTCGTTTCGGAGAAAGTTATCTTTTTAAAGTTTTGTATTTTTCTTTTGAAATGATTTGGATAGAACTGTGCGGACTTGGTTCTGATTTTAAAAAAAACTTAAATAGCCGCTTTTTATATAGTAAATGTCACACGTGTGGTGTGTAACACCGCACTTTGGGGTCCAACGCACTTTGGGGTCCGATCCCAAAGTGCGTTACGTTCTTTGGTGTCCGACCCAGAGTGCGTTACGCCTTATGGGGTCCAATTTTGACCCCATAGTGCGTTAAACAGGTACATATTATTTTTAACATCAGACAAACCACATAAAAAATCAATCAATAAAAATTAATTTTCATGATGTTTTAAATGATATATTGTAATCAAAGCCAATCAAGGTATTAAATTGACGCAAAACATGTGCCCTGAATTATAGTATAATCAATAGGGATTTTAAATGATCTTGATAAGTTAGTGAAGAACTTTCATCAAATAAACAATTTAAATCAATTTATAAGCTCAAAATATTTTTCTTACATTTTCCATTTATTTTAAAAGAATGTAACACCTTTCATTAACTCCATTGTTTTTAGATAATTGCATCCTTTTTCCCGTTTTTTTATTAACATTTTATAGAAATATGATAGTCTTAGCAAAGACAAAAGTATAATTCCTGGGAAATGTAAATAAAACATTTCAGTAAAAAAATGTCCCTGATAAAATGTTGGAAAGGCCATTTATTTAGCTTATCTTAATTGACCTTTTCGAAAACATAGCTAAACACAGTTTTCCGGTACGTTACGGATTTAGCTCTGGGGAATTACACCGAATGAAGTACATAACACAATTACATGATATTTCTAGTTTCTATCATTATTTTACCGTTTAAGGTAAAAAAAAGGGATGTGTTTGAAATTTTTTTATAAAGATTGCTTAAATATCTATTGCAATTCTTTTAAAAAAATATTGTTTATAATAAAAATCAATAAAATTAAAACAGTCGTAGTGGCATAAATAAAGATATTTTCTGCGTAAACTTGTGTATCACTTTATTTTTTTGTATGGAATTATTCATACAGTGATATTTAATTATTTTCTTACAAAGAAATAACTGTTTTATTTCACATTAATTCAAAAAGGCCAAAAACATAGAGTTCGTTATTGCACTCCAATTAGGTAAATTCCCCAGAGCTTTGTACAGAAAGTACCGGAAAACGGCAATGAGCTAGGTTTTCGAATTCGTGAATGTGCCATTTAAGAAACTTGACTAGGTGTAGATGCGGCCTTAAGTAGTAGTAGTCCGTACAGGCAGTAAAACTATGTTAGTATATAGTCACACATTAAGAACGGAACTTCATAAAAATGTAAAGTTCTCATCGAGGGGTCTAGAGGGGATGGTGAGGTGTCAATCGCCTCGAGATTATAAAATTAACGTTTTAAAGGCCCATTTTTGCTGTTATTTGTATTTCTTAAAAGCTTCTTAAGTTTGGTGTACTTCTATAGCATACACAAGTTACTTATTGGCCAATTACCTGAACCATCTTTTTCATCTGTTGCTTTTTGGCAATGAGTACAGTTAAAGTTAGTTAGTATTAATATTTATACGGAAGTACAATACTACATTGTTAACATTTTGCTACTTTTATTACAAATTATTTCACATTTATCGCTAAATTATTCAGGTAACGAGCATCTTACATTTCTCTGATACCATTACTTAAACACTATAAAATTCATGTTTGCCCTTTCTAAAGAAGTATGTAAGATTTCCCATTAAGAAGCCTCTGGCGAACGGTTGTTACGGAACTAAATCATATTTAAATAATATCAAGATATTATATAGACGCAAAACATGTGCCCTGAATTATAGAAGAATCATTAGAGATTTTTAAATGCTCTTGATCAGTTAGTGAAGAACTTTCATATTTAAAATGGGGCACAAAATGGCACCAAAAGTTATCAAGTAAATGACTGACAAAGGATGATATTTTTCGCAGCATCTTTCAATTTTAGGAATTCATTTACAATTTATGTACTAGAGTACCTTGTTATATGAACACAATTTTTAGATATTTCAAGTGGTAAAATTAATGAAACTTTTATCACTTAAGCATCAAACAAAGTATCAACCGTCATCTTGAACTCCACCTCAAATATTCCAATGTCGCAGATCGAAAATAAGTCAGTACTCAGTATTTAATCAGAACTCAGTTGACACCTTCAGAACTCTGGCACCCAAAGTGCGTTGATATGTAGCAAATTTACGCACTTTGGGGTCGATTTCTCGATTTTCACCCCAAAGTGCGTTGGAACCCAAAGTGATATGCAAAGTGTAATGCACTTTGGTGTCTGACCCCAAAGTGCGACGGACCCCAAAGTGCGGTGCTACAGTGGTGTTTTATTTTGGTTAGATTTGATAACGGGTCTGATGCTTTTAATGTCTTATAATATTACTATGTTTATGCTCAAATTTGATGTTTTACCGATGGTCATTTGCTTATTGAAGGATTATATCGTTTTTAAAATGGGATATAATAAATAAATGCTCAAAGCATTATGAGCAACACTGTCTATATATAAATACGACAAACGGTGTCAGATTGCTGGCACAATACGACATCGACTAAGGTGTACCCGTCCTGTCACAGTATAAAATGAGTACTACCAGTGCAGACGTATTTGAATTTTCCTGTCGTTAATTTCAACAACTGCGCAGATCTAAACAGATATTCGTCAAGGTAGCAATTTATTCGCCCTTTATCAAGGTATTCAGTGCACAGCTGGCCATTCCTTCGCAGCCATTTTACGCGTGCGTAAATTCTTGTATTACACCGAAATTAGCCAATTGAACTTTGACCATGTTAACGGATAACAAAAGGACCTAAATAATATTTTACCACCTAAATGATATCTTATCCGCTTCTATAAAGTAAAATATGACTATAGTA